CAGCATAGCCGAAGCTATCTGTTTCCACCTGCGACCGCGTAGAGGTGTACAATAGGACTTCGCAGGCTGGCTGATAATACGTTGGTTGTACTGCTTCTTCGAATGGGCGCACGGATCGTGTAATGATGACTCTGCTCCACCTAAGACGGACAGAATGATTCGACTTGCCAGTATTGCACGAGACTTTAAGAACTTTCAAGAAGCCCTACGAGGAGCGGGCGAGAAGAGTATGTGGATCAAACATTGAGAAGACATTCAATGAACGACGTTTTGAATACATTATGCGCTATTGCGCCTATGCAAGACTGACCGCTCATTGGTGTTCGCTACTATCCTTCCATCGAAGCAAAATAGACCTGTCAATCGATCAGGAAAGCCGATGTCCTCTCCCCGAGCGCTCTAGACACGTCTGAAGCGACCACCAAAAGTCGGCCCATCGTTCAACCCTTCAGGCTTGATCTGATCGGCATTAGCCTTCATGAAGAGGCCGAGATTCGCAAAATCTCCTAGCTCTCGCATGGCCATGATTGCAGCATGCTTATGTTCGTTCTGGATCTTGATATAATACGACTTGTCGCTTTCCACCCACATATGGGAATCGGGAGCCACACATGTCGTGTTCTGGGGCACATCCTATTGTGCGGATCGTCAGTCCAAGCGCAACTTGAGTCTCACTGGGTCAGTCTGGAATTACGCACCCCATCATCTCTCTTCTTCGAAGGCCGACTATAAGATGCACCACTGAGGGTCGACAACTGCTCGTTGCAGCAGGTTCCAGCATCGCTAGCGGAGAACAATACATCAGTCGATGCATTACAGCAATGGAATTTTGCAGTCCTCCAAGCAACTCAACCTACATGTTATTGCAAACGACTACACCGCAGTCATTAATGTTTTGGCGGGAGAAGAACTTTCCCTGAATCATCACACCCATTCCTGAGGCGGTGTTGTAGAAGTCACCAGAGTCGTACAGTCTTGTGCCACTTTGTGAGACGCCGCAGCAGGAATTCTCGGCCAGATCGGTGCAGCCTGTTGCGTAGTTATCGCAGCCATCGTCGGTGTTATCGTTGGTATAGAAACGGGCATCGATCTCGACGTCGGCGCAAAGGGCGACGGTGGCTAGGCCGAGGACGGTCAGCAATGATGTGAGGTACTGCATCTTAAGAGAACAATTCTTGAGCGAGACTTAAAAGGTACTGAGGAATCCTATTCTGAACGCACCGACGTGCTGCATCCCTATATACTACATGCACTCGGTAGAGTAGAGCGTGTTGCCATACACTCACAAAACTCAAGCTCTACAGCACATCACACACTGAGAAAATTTGCCAGCTGTGCTTGTGTCGTAAAGGCTTCCTGCGGCTATGCGGACCTGACCTGTGGATCTAAAATGACCGTACAGGCTTCCTTCGACCAAGTTTGACTAAATCGGGCACTGATTGACCTCAGCTTGGATACACTTCTGACTGTGCAGCTTGCTCACGCTACAATGCAAGCTCATTGACGATGTAACAATCCTTCAAACTTTGAGGCTACATTGTCATCCTATCGGTCACAGGATGAGTAATAGCTTCAACAGAGCGAGCCACGGGCAATTACATCGGCATCTTGTGCTGGATACTGTCCAGTTGCAGCTTCAACTTTGCTACAGGAATCTGACAACACTGCAAAAATGACTGAGCCTTCCGCAAATGCTACTACCATCGACGAAACCATGCCTCAAGTAGAGCCAGATCCATTACCTACGCGATGGGACTATCACCTAAAGAGTAATTTCACCCTCAATGGTCAACCTGCCGAATGGGCACAAGGCTCTCCGCAGCACTGGGGATCTGAGGAGCTGGCAATTGAAGTCAACGATGCAGTGAGTATCATTGCACTAAGCCAAGACGACAAATGCATTGCCATAGGACTCAAAAGTGGACTCGAAATCTACGAGATCGATGGCGAACCTATTCGCCGACTTTCAATTCCTTCATCGCCCGAAGACTGGGTTGCGGTGCACATTGAATGGAATCGAAACCAACTCGACGATCACAGATATCAAATTGTCGTCTGCTACACTACTCCTCGCGTTCTGGGTTCTGCATTGAAAGAGGCAGTCCTCCAGGTTTACAACTTGGATACGCAAGAGTGGAAAGCCGAGGCAATACCACAGCTGAATATAAATTGCTTCAAATGGCCCAGTCGAAGCCTCAACATGATCAACGGCCCCAGCAATCGATTCCTCGTTCTATCACGAGACTCATCAAACGACCCAAAAAACAACTGCATCGAATCATGGGACTTAAGCGAACGCTCTCGGATCTGCCAACTCCCGAAACCATCCAAAGAAACACTATGGCTAAGCCTCAACCCCTCCGGATCTCTCATCGGCATCGCCTCGCTTGATCAAACTCTCAGTCTGTTCGACACACAATCCGGTCTCCTAAAATCCTCAACTCCCGCTCTCGGTGGACAAATCCACAACGCAAAATTCTCCCCCGACGGTACCAAAATCGCCTGCGCCCATTCCGGCACTCACCCCTCCATACGAATTTTCGACATGAACCTACAACAACTCCACGCAATCGACTTCCACTTCCTAACTCGAGGTCTAGCCTGGTCACCAGAAAGTAATCTCCTAGCCTATGGCGCTCAAGGCGGCCATTTACAAATTTTCGATTATGCCTCGAGAGCTATCTTGCAGAATTGGGAATTAGAGTATCCTGGTATCAGGCCTTCTCCGTTGAATGAAGTTGATGGAGTACAAATTGTTGACGAGGGAAAGAAGATTATGTTCACGACGGGAATGGAGGGAGGAGTGGAAGTCTATGATTTCTCGAGTAATCGAAAATGGCGATTTCAGCCTGGTGAGGATGAGAACGAGTTTGTTCGTGGGACGAAAAGAAGTAGACCGATCTGGTCGTCAAGACGGCGACAGATAATCGTTCTGGATGGAGATGGAGCCATCAGGTTCTGGACAGTATGATCGAATTGTTTGTTCCTTCAACGAATCATCTTCAACAGACCTCAATCGCAAAGCTAAGCTTCTGGAATCATTTGCTCGTGGAACAACTAGTATTCCCAATACGAAGCCTTCCAAAAGAGCTACACAGGACTCTTGAGCACAGCCCAATGATCAATCAACCTCGATTACCCATACCCCTCCACCCCGCCCAGCAACCCCATCATCCTCCATCTAAAACACCTTCACACTCCCCCTCCTCCTCCCCTCCGGACAAGTAATCTGCATATTTCCCGGCGGGTTACAACCCGAGCTTCCGCTATCATAATAGCAGAGATTATCTGCACATTGGCAGTCTTCATATAACATTAGCAAACTTGCACGAAGAAAAAGCAGTCTTATGGCATACAATTTTCAATTCCATTGTCCGGATCCGCACTGCGAGAAAGTATCAATTAGTGCCATGAATGGGAGATAAAAACGTGAGATGAGCCAGATAGACTTACTGATTATAGCAAGGTTGCTGTTGGGCGTGGACTGTGATAGCCAAGAGTAAAGTGTTCAGGATGAAGTGAAGGAACTGCATATTGGACTCTTTTGGTGGGAGAGATTTCAGTGGGCAGGAAAAAAGGGGGACTCGTGGTTTGATGGGTCGATGTGGATGCTGAGCTGTGTAGGATATACAAACTGTTGCAATATTTGTATTTCCAGTCACCTTTCCTTGGCGCCTACTGTTGACGGCATGCTTAATTCAGTGCGAAACTTTCATGCTCCTGCGCCTCACTACTCGGTGCAAGCGTGATGGAAAGGGATGTGAGCACGCAGCTGCAGAGTCATTTTAGCGGCGTTCCTTTCTAGAGCTGAGAGGATCTCAGAGGAACATCGACAAGGAAGGTAAGGTGCCAGCCGCACAGCTTCAATGTAACGCGAAGGAACAGGTATTTTACGTCACCTTCATTCCGCCAGGATATGATTGCTTTCACAATTGCCGAACATGATCCAATCTCAACACGTAAACGATCTCTGCTCACATCCGTGGTACTGGCTTTCGTGGCGGTAACAACGGAGCAGCACTCTCTACCAGCCCTTCATGGCCTCCTGTTGCAGACTGATTACGATAGTACTGAGTATCGTGCATCGTTTCCAGTCGTGCTGTCTCTTCCATGCCTGCTTGCCCTCTCCTGTAGGCAGCCTCGTCTTGCTCGACTTTGGGTGGCGAGTACGCAGTATACCGAACAGCCCCATGGCCATAAGTATCAGCATCATAGTGAATACGTGTCTCGCCAGAAGCATCAACACGTTCCACAACGGGTGCAATATTCTTCTGATCAGCGGGAGACCCAATTGGCGTCACCTTATCCTCATTTGACCACTCTGCGTGACCACCATTGTGCAGAGCCATACGAAGGAGCTGAAGCTTGCCGTCCGCGATCCATGCGAGACGTTTGTGTCTCTTGTCACCACCGGGTCGACGATTCTTCTGAATGCCGACGCACGTGTCGATGACCCAGGATGTAAGTATGATGATGCAGCTGACGATAATGACGATGAGCAGGCCTGCCATCGAGAACGACTGGTATTGCGCCGTACTTCGCATGAGTTGTTGGTGACATAGATCTTTCATTGCTTGGGCGCCAGTGTAGTTGAGCGACCCGACTGGTGTGTAGAAAGGCGAATCCTTGTCCATCTCGCCCCATTTATGATTTGGCATTTCTGCGATTCGGAATTGCAAGTTTGCGAGCGCGGTCTGATACCATCCTTCGACTTCTTTCTGCCACTGATTGTCGGGTAGAGGGCCGGAGTATCTCTCGTATATCTGATCGTATGCGGAGACTGCCGACGGACCTTGCGGGTAGATGACTGTGTAGATATGCGAGGCCCAACGAGCGTAGATGATCCTTTCTACAGTTGCAATCTGCTTATCATTTAGCTCGAGCGGGTCGAAGCGAATCGTGGTCATGCCGTCCAGTGGGGAGCATTTGCCGGTTGCTGAGTTGCAAAGTCGGAGCTGATCTGTACAAGCGACAGTCGTGAAGTAGTGATCTGGCTCCAAGTAGGTTTGATTGTCCAATGTGCCCTTGATTGGGTATGTACCATTGGCTGAAAACATGGGATCGAAGACGGGCTCGGTGTATAAGACCTTGTTGGCGGCGAGAAACGCAACTGTAGTATCTGCATCATCGAATTTGAGCTCATCGATTGGTTGCCAGGTGATTTTACTGCCGGCATTGTGCCAGAAAGGACTACAAATGCGTCAGCAGAGGTGATTGGAGCAAGACGTTGCTCAACCTACTGTATCGTGTACGCAATGGACTGCGTAGCCTGCACGATATTGTATTCCCAAGTGAAGTTCTGCGATCCCACACTGCCCAAATTTGCGCGTATGACAGCTTGAATGGCGGGCAATTCGTCGTATGGATTTCGAACAAGTTCCTGAAAATCAAAATCTGCAAGAACAGAGCAAGTCGACACGATTTGAAACCCAACGCGGTCTTCCTCCTTCGCATTGACCCCCAGGTGGACGTGCGAGTCCAGCAGTCCCGTGTCCATGCGCATTGCACCGTTGTCACCTAGGGTGCACAGTCCGGCGAATGGGCAGCTCGCGGATGTGTCAGCTTCGTACGGCAGCTGCTGTATTGGGAGTTGCGAGCAGCCCGAGGTCCCATTGGGTCTGCCAAAGCACCGATCGACGTATGCTCGACTTTGGCGGATATCATCTGAAGGTTTGCTTTGGTGACGGAAGAAGGTGCCGGGTGCGGTGTAAGCGGTCAGGCCGCAGGCAGTTGGTTTGAGCAGCACTTGATTGCTCTGGTATGCTGGCACGGCAACCTTCGCAACCAGGATACCGGCCGCAGTGAACGAGAGAACAACGGAGAGCGGAAACAGCGCGAGCACTACTGCTTTCGAGAATGCCTGTGGGGAATTCTTTCGAGATGCCCAGCCCGTATTGACGATCTCAAGCACGCTTGCAACGGAACTGCCAGCATTTCGAAGGATGACTTGTAACTGGCGAAAGACGGCCGTTTCGGGCCCGCTCCGAGCGCGATACTGATGCAAAGCACATGCTATGATAGTCCACAGCGACTCGCCCGCCACCCTTACCAGGAGTGCAAGCACTGCGATGAGGATGGCACCGCGTTCTGCCGTGACAGTGATGGTCCAAGCTGACAACGTGTTTTTCGAATGGTTCATCCATGGTCTGTTCAGGTAGATCGGGTACTCTCCAGTCGTATTGCCGCTGACATAGCTAGCCATGTTCACGTCAGCTTGGACAGCTGACGATTGTCGCGTCTCAATGGGCAGAGAGTCTGAAGACGTGTACAGGCTGGCTCAAAAAGATGAGTTCTGGGGATGCCTCGATTTAGCGCAGCTGACCGTACATATCGTGCATTTCACAGCTGGACAGTCATGCCAATGCTGTGGCGGCGGCCTCTTCTCGCATTCGCTTTCATGCCAGGCTCTGTGTGCAGCTCGATACAGTGGCAGACAGCTGTTTTCGGCCCCGTGCAATAGGAAAAAAGCCTCGCCGACCTCACCCCACTCGTAGAAGGCCACAGAGTTTGAGCAAACGTCTGGAACCATGCTGACTACACCATTCCCTCCAGTATGGAATCGAAGCTGCAGCCACGCCCAGCAAGCCACTCAAGTCCTCTGACAACTCAGCACTTGGCATCGTCGCATTCGTGTTGCTGTCCAGCGTATGTATCAGCCAGATACGAGATGAAGTCGACCACCATGATGAGTGTTTCGTATGAGCGTCTCGTGTAAGAACAGAAGACTCGAGAGTTGTTGACAGTGTTTGGGACAGATTCGACAGGAGTGCAGTGGATGTGGAAGGTGAAGGTGGAGGCGTGCGGGCTCGGCAGGCTCGGGCCGGCGTCGTGCCGGAAAGTGCGCCTCGTTCTCAAAACTGCCGCGAAATGTTTCACGGAAGTTGTTGAGACGCGTGCCTGGCTTCACGTCACACAATCAATCTGGTTGCACACGGACTGCACCTGCGCCGATTCAGCTCCAAATGGCTTGTACCACAATATGCCCTGCACAGGGGCCGCAGCGTGCCAAGTGCTGTGCCGACGGAACTCAGCATTCCATTCCATCGCCAATTTCGGGGCCATCTTTCATTGCAAGTTGACCTACCCTACATTCAATGTGGAGAGATTGGCTCATCCATCGAAGCGGGTTAGCTGTTGAATCACACTTCACTCAGAGCAGCGGAGGTTCTTGTCTCCTGTAACGCTGAAAGCCACCAGCAATCACCAAACGAGCCCCTCGTATGACTCTCGATCCAATTGATGTCTACTCAACACTGATCAACTAAAACTGTCGCGTCTGGCACACTTGGATCTGCCACTTCAGACGAGCTCTGCGTCCACGGAGAAAGTTGTTCCGCCATCGCAGACAGGTCTAATAGGTGGCATGTCAGAAAGCAGTCTCACAGCCAACCCCGGCACCCAAGGACTACCCGCAGAGCACAAGAACTTCCCTAATATTCCCACCATATCCGCGGAAGGAGAGATCATAGACGGGGGCGTCACAGGCCTGGTCTGTCTGCAAGACGATGGAACCGTGATCAAGTACTCGTGGCCAGAGCAAGAAGAATGCGAAGAGGAAATGGCCCAGGAAGCTCACGCTTATCGTAGACTGTTCGAACTTTTCGGCCATCATCCGAGATTTGTCAAGTTCCTCTCGCATGATCAGCATGCTCATACCATCACCATGGAATACATGCCCAATGGCACACTCAGGTCGTATTTGCGAGACCACCACGAGTCAATCTCCAAGAAACAGCGCTTTCGGTGGATAGCTGCCCTGGCTGAAGGGTTGGAGCTACTCCATTCTGCCAATATTGTGCACTGTGATTTCAGTACAAAAAATCTGCTTCTCGATCACGACCTGGAACTGAAAGTGGCAGACTTTGGATGCAGTTCGCTAGACGGTGGGCGCACCAACGGAGGCGGAAGTGCAAGATTTTATCCTCCAAGAGAATGGAGGACTGGACGTATCGAGGCAGCAGATGACTTGTTCGCATTAGGCTCTTGCATATTTGAGATCCTGACAGGGAGGCCTCCATACGATGACCTCGAAACCCGTCGCGTCGGTCGGCTTTACGGTCTTCGTCAATTTCCCGATCTCGTCGGAATGGACTTTGCGGATGTTATCCGCGACTGTTGGCTTTTCCGGGGGCAATCGGCGCGAGAAGTCCATCACAGACTCCTCGAGGCTTTATAGCTCTGAGCTCGGACCCGATGCGTATTCGAGGCCTTCCTAAAAACGACTAGTGCGCTCTTCTCATAGATCTGCCCCCACCTCCACCTCCGCAGACGCCAGCCACATGCAGGGTCTATCTACCAAAGATGAGGCAGTCGATGGAGAAACATTTCTAGAGACAGCCACCCGGCGACTTCCTTGCGATATCATCGTTCTCGTCTCTGTCGAATGGCAAGCGCCTGCGTCCAGATACAGCATCAGTCGCATACGACACTCGACTGCATGACACAAATAGCCACAATACGGGCCTCAATCCCGCGTTTGAGGAAGGCGGAGGGCTGCAGAACGACACCGAACCAACTTTTATGCCTAACAATCTCCATGATGTTCAAGAAAAGATGCGCCGGTCGAGCCATAAAAAGTCCCGCCGTGGCTGTGTAGCATGCAAGCAAGTCATATCCCGAGGATCTATCACCCAGAATGGCAGGCTACCTTGCCGCTGATACATGTACTAACTCCGAACGAACAGGCAAAGCCACCGCAAATGCGACGAGAGTTTTCCTACATGCCTCCGCTGTAAAAACGCCAAGCGCGAATGCATTCGAGAAGTGCCATCAGCAGTGAAGCCTCGTCGATGGCCAACCTTCCGCAGATTCCAGCACTTTGACCCCAAGATTTCTCAGCAAAGTCCAACGCTGTCTGCGAGTCCTCCGCTACTCGCAAGTCCGCCGCTCCCTGCGAGTCCACAGCCATCTCGCACTGCTCTCTGTGGAAGCGATCAGCTCGCTCTCGAGTATTTCTTCACACGCACACTGCCATTTCTGAATACATGCCGGCCAACGCCGCTTTGGAATCAGACTGTCGCCGCGCTTGTGCAGTCTACTGAGACATTTCGCCACATTGCAGCTGCGATTGGTGAGCAGCACCGCGCTCTTTGCGATCGACGGCTCAGTGAGCACGCCCCGGGCTCGATTGCACGACTTCCGACTGCTCTTTACGCCAAGGCAATACTGTCTGTCCGTCGCTCGCTTGACGGCTGGTCAGATGACAACGCCACAATCCCCTCTCTGGCTTGTCTTCTCATGATCGTTTTAGAGACTGCACGCGAATCAGGATCTGGAGCACTTGTCCACTTGAATTGTGGGATCCGATTCGTGTGCAGAAACCGTTTGTACACAACTTCCTTCGACTTACTTGAGGTGGCACGTCTACTTCGAGCATACGGAGTCAATGTCATTCTTCACGAACCCATCGCGCCCGCCTCAACTGCCATTCAAAAATTGCTGCTGGGGACAGACCAGCTTCCCACGGACCATGAGGAAGTCGAGAACGTTATATCAGAGTTCTACAACATAATCATAGAGCTCGTCCCAGTACGTCGCGAACAAGAACTACCTCATTTCCAAAGCGAGGCAAAGTCAGCATTCGAAAACATTTCAACCATTACGAAATTACACACTCGTTTTGCCGAAGCCCTCGATCGACTGGAACAACTCCAAGCAAGCAGGTCAGAGGCAGCGCCTGAAGGCCGCCGCTTGAAAATACTTCGAGCTCGGAAGATTCTTTTGCAGCTCGAACTGCAACATAGCCGGCGGTCGGTGAAGCAGGACATTCGTGCCAATAGACTGTATGCTGAGGCTCTCGAACTCATTGACGCTTCATTACAGCAACTATGCCGCAGCATCGGCGATGTTGTGCCACCCTTCCTCTTTGGCGTTGGATTGCTACCAGGCATCCGGAGTGTGGCAATTGAATGCCGCGACCCGGTAGTCCGGCGCAAGGCTCTGGAGACTTTCCGCCGCTATCCTGTACAAGAAGGTGTTTGGAACGGTAGGACACAACTTCGCGTGTGTAACACCATCATTCGCTTCGAAGACGTCACACCTGGACAGATGGTGATTCATCACCAGCTTGGACCTGAACATACTGGACTTGGCGAGCCTGATAGCTTGACCGTCTTCTGCATCTCGACTGCCAACCCTCCAGAACATACTGTACATCAGATACCGCTTAGTCCAGAATGAAGAAAAATGCATGCCTCTAGGATATGGTCACGGATACAACTGTATGACCGAGAATTTGCCGACATGACGAACTTGGTATCAAATACATGTTGTCCGTTCATGCTACGCTGGGTTCTTCAACGAAGTAAACCAATCAATCAACCTTCTCCGCGACTCGCACATTGGCAATCCCAAGGCATAGTCGAAAGCAAGGTGCACATGGACTTCTCCTTCAGCAACCACGACTTCAACTTGCGTCCCATCATGCTCAGCATCCTTCAAGGCTCTACCCAGCTCGATACCATCGTCCCGCAGGCATTCAATACTTCCGGCAGTCACGATCACCCTTTCCACTGGTAGATGCGCCCAGAATTTCTCGCCTGCCGTGAGTGGGTCGGCCCAAACATCGTCTTCGACAGGATCGAAGAGATCTATGATATACTGGACTCGAGCAATGCTCAACCCATCAATCTGGTCGTACTCGCGGAAACTGGCAGAGCCTGTCTGCATCGCGGCCCATGGGGAGATCATGAACATGCCTCTGAATTTCGCTTTACTGGTCAGGTTTTCGGGTATCGGCTGAATATCTGGATGGGGTTGGAGGATGTGTGCCATCAGTGTGACTGCGAGATGCCCGCCTGCAGAGTCGCCGCCAAAGACGATTTGCGATGGAGAGAGATTTCGCGCTTCTAGCAAATGTCGGAGCGCAAGGACTGCTTGCCGCAGCTGAGTGGGATACTTTGCGCCAGGCGACAGAGAGTATTCCAGCACGAACAGCGCTGAAGCACCAAGAGCCGTCGCATAGTCTCGGCAGGACAAGAGATGGGCCTTAGGGTGTAAGGGCATGGTATAGCCACCGCCATGGAAATACAGCATTACTGGTCCATCTTTTGAGCTCTTGAACGAGCCGATCTCGTGCAGGTACGCATCGGGACAGCTCTTGTCGGACAAAGTCTGAGCATTATGCGGCCAGTCATGCTTCAAGCATGCCTTTCTAATTATTGCTCCCGATGTTTTTTTGCTTCGAATTACGGGATTCGAGGCTCCGGCTCGGATCAAATTTTGGTAGAGGTTGAATCCCAGGGTTCGACGCCAGCCCCAGTTGTGCTTCCTGTAGACGGAAGAGCGGAAGAGGAAGCCCCAGAAAGTTCGTAGAACTATCGCCAACTGATATCAGATTTTGCACTGAGCTGCAAATGAAGAGTTCGCGCATTCATACCTATGAGTATAATGTCTGGGCCAAGGCGTACATAGTTGAAGAACCCGAGCAGCGCTTGCTTCGCGTTGGACATGATGGCATAGTGAACAGCTTGATGATTGTCGCGTGGCTTCCTACTTGTATCGCCAACGCGTTGTAATTGATGCCGCGGTTGTCGTAAGGTGCTCCACAGTCTCGTACCGCTCTGAACGAAACCTAAATCATGCGTTGATCTTTCCCAAAGATCTCGACACACAAAGAGTCCGCTTCATCTTTCATCCAGACTGTCCCAAAACGGAAAGCCCCAAATACGAACGCACGTGGCAAAAGCGCATGGGTTTATCCCTCGGCACAACCAGGCTTACATCTTACAGCCTCAAAGCTCCATCCAACACTGCAATGTTCCAACTCCAACTCCATCTTCTCCAGCAATGGTTCAACCTCCTGAAGACCCCGTCCTCATAATCGGCGCCGGCCTCTCCGGCCTCGTCGCAGCCTACGAACTAACAAAAGCCAACAAACGCATAATAATCCTCGACCAAGAACACCGCGCAAACCTCGGCGGCCAAGCCTTCTGGTCCCTAGGAGGTCTCTTCTGCGTAAACTCCAAAGCCCAGCGAAAACAAGGCATCAAAGATTCCCGCGAATTGGCTCTCGCCGATTGGTTAAACACCGCAGGTTTCGATCGTGAAGATAAAGAAGATTTCTGGCCGAAACAATGGGCGAAGGCTTTTGTGGATTTTGCGACTGATGAGTTGGAGGATTATGTGAGGAAACTGGGGTTGAGTTTTTTGGCTGTGGGGTGGGCGGAGAGGGGGGCGGGGAGTTCGCAAGGGCATGGGAATAGTGTTCCGAGGTTTCATTTGACTTGGGGGACGGGGCCGGAGGTTGTGAGGATTTTTGCGAAAGAGGTTTTGAAGGCGAAGAAGAAGGGGTTGGTGGAGTTTAGGTATAGGAATATGGTTGAGGAGATTATTGTGGAGGATGGGGTTGCGAAGGGTGTGAGGGGAAAGGTTTTGGAGCCTTGTGATCATGTTGAGAGAGGAGCGGAGACTTCGAGGATTGTTGTGGATGACTTTGAAGTCAGGGGACGAGCTGTGGTTATTGCTACTGGGGGGATTGGAGGGAATGTTGAGGAAGTGAAGAAGAATTGGCCGATGGATCGACTGGGACCGAAAGCGCCTGAGAGTGTTGTCGTGGGTGTTCCTGCTCATGTGGATGGAAAGATGGTCAAGATTGCAGGGACCCAAGGAGCCAGCGTGATCAACATGGATCGGATGTGGCATTATACTGAGGGACTCCAGAACTGGAACTCAATCTGGCCACTTCACGGCATTCGCATCATCCCCGGACCTTCCTCGCTGTGGTTCGACGCGAACGGCAAGCGCATGCCTCCTTTGCTCTTTCCCGGAAGCGACACTCTCGCAACTCTGAAACACATCTGCAGTACCGGACACGACTATTCCTTCTTCATCCTGGATAGGTCCATCATCGCTCGTGAATTTGCTCTGTCAGGTTCGGAACAGAACGAGGACATCACCAGCAAAAGCTATTGGCGCACAGCATACAGATACTTCACCACTTTAGGTACCAAAGAAGTCCAAGCCTTTCAAAAGAACGGCAAAGACTTCGTCGTAGCAAACGACTTGGAATCTCTGGTCGATGGAATGAACAGGCTTGCGAAAGAACGCAATGGCCCTGTGCTAGATTACGCGGACATCAAACGCCAGGTTGAACTCCGAGATATGCAGCTGGACAATCAGTATACGAAGGACGCCCAAATCATGATGATAAATAATGCTCGAAAGACAATGGCCGATAGTCTTCGTATCGCTCCGCAGCACAAGATCTTGAACAACAAATCTGCTGGGCCTCTGATCGCTGTAAGGCTGAATATCCTGACTCGTAAGAGTCTGGGAGGATTGGAGACAAATTTGCAAGGTCAGGTCCTTCGGTCAGATGGAAAAGTCTTCGAAGGCCTCTACGCAACTGGAGAGGCTGCAGGATTCGGTGGTGGTGGTGTTCACGGATATTCGGTAAGTACTGTCTCCTTCTTACTACTTGTATCATCTCAGCGAAGTCGAAATACTGATTCATTCACAGGCATTGGAGGGCACGTTTCTTGGTGGCTGCATTTTCACGGGCAAAGTTGTGGGTGAAGACTTGGTGAAACGTGCTCCTCCAAATTCTGCCGATAGGAGGAATGGAGCAAGACTGTAGCATACCCGATGACATGTTCCCAATGTAGGATAATGTTCGTATATGAGGAGGCTCGAGTCAGTTCACAACAAACAAATAACCCAAGCCTCGTAAGGTTCCTTACGTAAGCTCAACGGATCCGTAGCCTTGCCATGCATGCTGCTGGAGCTCACACTCCACTTCGCAGGCACTACTAAGCCATTACTGAAGCACAGTCAAACCATGTCAGCCATATCAACAGATTTGAGCTCTCTCATAGATTATCTCCGGGAATCAGAGTACGTCGTCGCCCTCGTTGGTGCCGGTCTCTCAGCCTCATCCGGCATCCCAACATTCAGAGGAAATGGTTCTCTCTGGCACGGCCACGAAATCACTTCTGTCGCTTCACGTCCCGCCTTCGTCAGAGATCCACTGCTAGTCTGGCAGTTCTACGAAGAAAGGAGGCAGAACGCTGCAAATGCTAAGCCTAATGCTGGACACTTTGCTCTGGCAAGATTAGCAGAGAAGAAGGAAGACTTTCTTGCTGTTACGCAGAATATTGATGGTGAGGCATGCCCAAGAATTTAGTTATGATTGCTGATACATAGATGTCAAGATCTGTCGCAACGAGCGGGTCATGATAGTACAAAGCTCGCGCCGATACATGGCTCACTGTTTACTGCGAAATGCTTTGATCCGGAGTGTGGATTCGAAATTTGGAATAATCGCAGTTCACCTTTGACTCCGGCATTAAACTCTGCCCAAGCAGTACATGGAACAACCTCCGAAGAGTACTCCGCTATCCTTCCAACATGCGGGAAATGTCACCAAAACTTCCTTCGACCTGGAGTCGTCTGGTTTGGTGAGCAGTTGCCACTGGATCTCCTGGACCGCGTCGACGAATGGCTGGAAGATCTTCCTCGTCTGGATCTATTTCTTGTCATCGGTACTTCAAGTCGTGTCTTTCCTGCGGCAACGTACATCGAAAAAGCAAGAGAAAAAGGTGCACGCGTGGCGCATTTCAACGTCGAGCCCGACGAGGATTTCATGGATGAGGAGGATTGGTTTGTTCAAGGTGATGCTGCGGTAACATTGCCACAGGTCATAAATCCGGCTTTGCAAGATGATTTGATATCGGCGGCATGAGTACGAATTACGATTTCAGCAAAAGCTCTACTGCGAAGCCCTCTCAACCTCATGATTCATCCCCGGCTTCGCCTCCAAGGGATAATACTCCTGCGATCCCGATCCTTGTCCTCCGTGCTGCCCATTATAGCTTCCGCCCAGAGAGTCCTTCCCGATTCTCACAGTCTCATCACCTTTGATTCTCGCCCAAACTGGTGTCCTCGCAACATCGATCTCATTGTTCGCCTGACTCCGCTCAGTCGTAATCGCTCGTCCCGCCGATGTCTGGTTAAGCATGTGTCTCAAAATTCCCAAACTCAAGTTCCTCGTCAAGAACATGATCAGCGACCATACGAATAGTGCGGCGTACACGCATCCAAACATGAGAGCAGGGATAGCGTAGCGCCAATCGTAAGAGATTCCGATCGAGTACTGCGCAGCAGGTCTCATAGCGTATGCCGTCGAGGAAGAAGTGTCACGACGTTGCATTTGATCTTGGTCGGCAGCCGTGGAAAGCGTGCTTCGCGCGCTGACCAGGTTATTGGCCATGAGGTCCGTCCAGATCAAATCCACGATTTTGCCCGGGTTTGCTCCGTTCGCCAGAAGTCGTTGCCATTGCAGATATAGCAAGTAGTTGCTCGCTCCCGTGTAGTCTTGCGCTCCGGGAATGACATCGTTAAAATCTCCAAACATATCGGCCAGAGCTGCGAAGGGCGCTCGATTTCCTGCTACAGCATCCTCGATAAGTGTAGTACCTCCGAAAGCTGAAGCAGCATTTGCAGGAAGTCGGAACTTCGATTGACGGACTGTCGAGACATTGGCTGTGTTTGCTGCTTCTGAGGAAATGAGGCCCCAGTATGGGTCCATAGCGGCGATTTTGCGGTAGGTGTTCTCTATTGCCCAGGTAGGCAGGTCGTTGTCGGAGGCGTACTCGACGTCTCGAACGTTTTCGATGATGAGATTATCGAGATTGGCAGTGCCGTTGATCTGGAAATCGACGAGTTTGATCGATGCCGACACGCCCGAGACGCAGGAGTAGATCGGCTGTTGCCAAATGCTGCCAGGAGTGAGCTGGAGGGCGTCGCTGCCAGGAACTGGATTCCCCTGATCGTCTATTTGCGTGCCAGTGCCGAGTACGAGGCCTCCTTTTGCGCCAATTCGTGTGATGTTCGTGGCATAGCTAGAGTTGAAGCCGTTGATGAGATCAGCTAGAATATGGTCAGTGGACTGGCGTACGACTTGCTGCCATTGGAACCCATACCAATCAGAACAATGTCAGGAGCGACATTTTCAGAGAAATTGGATGTCCCCAGAATTCTCAACGGGCCCGGCAAATTAGGACGTGAGCGATTAGTCGCATAGTCGTACTTGCCAAAGGCCGATAGAACAATGTGGTTTGGTTCAGGATTGTTCTGCAAGGAAGAGCTGAAAGTCCCGTTGTCCATGTAATCCTCCATTAGATATCGCTTCCCCATTTCTGCAGTACTCTTGGTGACATTCATGTATCTGCCCAAGAAGATGTTGGTGGCAACTGCTGCCACATAGGAGCGCTCGAGAAATTTGGGATCTGCTTGTGTATTACTGAGCTCCGGAGTTTCGAACGTGGATGGTGAGTCCACAAATCCTCCGCGGTCTACGATGGCTTGGTTGATATTGTTATCGAGTTGGAACCCTGGCGCTGGAATGGTGTACTCGTAAGTCAAATTGAGATTTGTGCATCTGTGCAAATAGTCGTCAGCGTTAGCATGGCACGTCGCAATGCCCGCTACTCACGCCGTCTCTGGTTCTAGCCAAAGAATGTGCTCTGACCAGGAGTACCCGTATTCTGATGTCGGAGGCAGAGTGTGGTTGCGAAAGCCGATGCCAGTCTGGTTCACTTGGGTAGACACTATCAAACCTTCCACAGCACGAGTCTTGTTCTCCAGCAGGAATTGCTGGTAGTATTGGAACTTGCCCTGCGTCCGAGGCTTACCAGCATCAACCCACTCAGCCCGATTGATTCTCGCTGGCTCCGTCTGATTGTCTGTGGCGGAGATTTATCATCAGCAACGGCTCCATCCATCTTGACATCTGGCTGCTACCCACTGTAGTTGATGAAAGATCGATACTGGATGTCAAAGATATTGGCAACTGTGCCTCCGAAATCACTATCGGCGCTTGAGAACACTTGTGTCGTGTTTTCGGGAATGTTCGCTACAGACACCACCTCAGTCAGTCATCATCCTTGGTTGGCAAATTGACCCGACAACTCACTCGTGAGAGTAGCGTCGTCCCTCCCGGGGCTCGTGAGCAAGCCTCTTCCAGACGCGTTACGAAGCATATACACTCCATCATCGTTGCCCGGACAAGGCTCATAAAATATCCCATCGTTGCACAATCTGTCTGGTTTGTACCCAACGCGGGATTGCGCAGCCATGCCTAGGGCACTGGTGTCCCGGACATATTCAAAACGAATATCTTGAACTTCGCCAGCACGTAGTTGGCTGCGCAGCCCCAGTGGCGTGACGACTGCAGCGACAGCGAGCAAGAGCGTCGTGAGTGTGGATGTAATAGCAATGCCTTGAATGCGCTTGTCCACCTTCTTGCCATTCACAGCATCGGTCTGTAAGAGGAATGGCCAGTGCGAGTGGTTGATCAGACGTCCAAAGACCGACCATGTTGCAACATTTGTCCTGCGCTTGACGATTCCGACAGCGACCAACGAGATAAGCAGAGGATATGTGACTTGTACTGCGATCAAGTCAGATCTGGCGCAGGACCTCTCGCTTGTGTTTCGAACTCACCAAGGACGATGGCAACGTTGAGTACTGCCGCCGCCTGCGCGACAGTAATGTGATCTGTGATCATATTTGCTCACCTGCTGCCCGACCGACGGGACAGCGCAAAAAGTCCTCGTATCCTACGAGTGGGCATCTCGCAGTAGTATTTCAAGCACACCAGCACGCGAGACGCGCTCTGTCGGTTATGCAAAAAGTCCCTGATCAGCGCAAGTGATAGACTATGCGTGCCCAATGGGGAATGTGTACTCAAACAGCTTGTGTCGATCACGAATGTTCGTTGAATAGGCTCTGTGGTGGACGTCTGGGCGGAGAATCCTTCCATACAGGAGCCATTCTGCAAGTGGCTATGCCAACGCTACAATATTGAAGCATGCCTTGCAGGATTCCAGGTTGGAAGTTGCGGCCAATAACTTCACGTTGCACAGCATAGCAAGAAAGCATAACCAGTATGCTTGACGAGCTGCGGCCTGGTGGCTGAACTCTCGTCTCGCATTCGCTTCCAGCAGCGGATTGGGAAAGGTCGTGATGCAGATCTTTGAGGCCGCCCATCACAGGGACTTTGCCAAGCAACGTGCAGAGCACCTGTCTGCCATGTGCTGTCTGCTTGTTGCCGAAATGCCATGCTGTGCTGAAAGTCTTCAGGCGTGTTGCTTTAGCGATGGATGCTTCTGAGTCTGCCAGCATGCTGTTTCGGGCGCTTCCTTTCTTGAATATGGGTGATTTAGCTGAGGTCGTTGAGGGATCATCGAGGGCCGCACATCTCGAAGTCGCCGGCAACAGATACAATCGTGGCTCAAGATAGCTCTTACCTGCGCTACGAAAGTCGGACCCCAGCAGATTGAATCATCACAAGGAGAAGGAGAGGAAAGGAAAGCTTACCTAATACGGCGCGTGCAATAAGGCAAAGGTACCTGCCATCAGGCTCGGAGAGGTAAAGGCATGCTAAAATGAAGCAGTGTACAAAAGTCGACGAAGAGGATCCGTGTGTATCATATGCTATGCCACTGCGCTCAAAGTCCCCGCCAACGCCCCACGCCACGCTAAGTTTCAAAAAGTCCATCGTCTCTCAAGAAGTAAACTCATTCAAACCCGTCGGACCTCTGCTTCTCCCTCCTTTCAAGGACGGGGCTTAACGGCGGAGGAGGCAGGTCACCCATACCAGGCGGGTTCAGTTGCCCGGGTTCGCTGCGTTCGTACACAGTGGGCACTGCACCAAGAGGATCAAAAGATGCAGCGACTGGCGGAGGCGCCCCTGTACTTATACTCCTTCTATGCGCATGAGCATGTCCCAGAGTGCCCATGGGCGGTCCGCTTGTGCTCAAGCTCTTTCTATGGCCATGCCCGGCGGCCGCAGACGTGGGCTGCTGGACGAGCTGTTCGCTTTCCTCCTGCATAGGCTCGGCATCGTCGACCAGGTCATCCTCATCCAAGTGGTGCACTCCCCCGCGATTTTCAGAGACAGCTTCCTGAAGTGATAGAAGGAATGCAGTCATGTTGTCGAAACCCATCGAGCTTTCCTTGTGATCCAGGCCATATAAGCGGAGGGACTCCGTAAGACACCGATCAGCTTGGGATGACTTCTCGAGTCGCAGCCAGGCGTCTGCCGCAAGGGTGTTCCAAAAAGCTGATTTGCGGCGCCTATCAATACCCAGCAGGCCGCCAACGGCCCTGCGATCGTTCAAACATGCTGCGATTCGTTCGGTCAGCAGAGCATGACCGATGGTCCCTACAAGACGATCGTCCAGAATGCGATTCGCCCAGCGAGCTGCATCATCCAACGCGTTGCCACTTCGCATCTTCAAAAGTTCCATCCCAAGAACAAGAGTTCGCAACGCATTGTAGGGTGCTCCGACTCGTGTCACATACGAATAATACGCGGTCTCCAAATACTGGTCGATGCCTTCTATGCGGATTTTGTGGTTCACACTTGTGGCCAATAGCAAACTCACGGCAGCCATTTCATTGACGCCAGCGTAATGTCGCCACGCTTTGTCATTCTTGAAGTCCTGGCAAAGAATTTCGTACGTGGAGTGCGCAAGCTTGAAGTCGCGCAGCATAATTGAGTAGTCTGCAAGCTTCCGCATCACAGCCTCCGGAGCCTCGGGTCGATAGAATCCCTGCAAGCTGTCATAATTGCTGCTCGCGCCTCCAAGCAAAGGCGTCGAGGAATTACGACCTCCGCCAAAAGCGGTGAACCTTTTTGACATAGACATGAATCTGCCGCTGATGCCTCGTCTGCGAGAAGCCACTTGATCGTTCCAGGTGGCTGATGCTCGCTCCATTGAGGGAATAATAGATTGTGTTACCATCTCCCGGACGAATGCCCGGAGTGCAGTTGCGTCAGATTCGAAGATATAAGGCGTCGGATCCTCCTCATCCTCGCTCGTTTCTCGTCTTACAATTTCCGCAAGCTCTTCTCCAGCCGCGGTCCACTCGACTGGGGGTAGCCGCACACTGTCATCGTCCGAAGGTACACACTGCGTACTACGCAGTCGCAAAAGATGGCAGTGCAGGCCAAAATGCCTCTTCATCTGATCATACAATGCCATGGATTTCGTAATGTCGTCGTAGTCCTCGTCATGTATCAAGACATAGTATCGTAAAAACTCATTGTGAACCCACTGTGGTAGCCGGTGCTCACCACTATTCGAAGAATCATACAAGTTCCGCAACTCCTCAATGGGCGATGGTGACCGCGATGATATGGCAATCACCGACGCAACTGGATGCGAAAAGGTCTCAGAAGGTACCATCGGTAAGCCGGAAAGCAGGCGACGCAAGTACAAGGTGTAGAATGGGGATGTCGCATGCGCATCAGGCACCGCTGCCGTATCTTTGAGTGTCATATAGCTGGCCTCGATCGGACCCGAATTCTCCTCGTAGAAGGTCAGATGCCGCTCTACCAGTTCCTCTATCTGGCCCACATCTCCTCCGGTTCGCAATCGGGCAGGCTTGTATTCAAGCAGCGATACACCTCGTTTATGACCTTGTGGTTTAGTCGCAGATTCGGTGCTCTTACGCTCGGGGTTCCGCGGGTTCTCCAACCCATCTCTGACGCCAACGAAGCGCACGGAGAAGTCGTCATGAAGCTTGCTGATGCCCGTGCTGTCTCGGATGGTGACTTTGCCTTGTATTTGCTCGCCGAAAGGCCGCAGGAGATCAAGAAGTCCACCAGCGATTCCTTTATGCCTTACAAGCTCGTCGGTATCTTGCGAGGCGAGCACGGACACATGCGGCGCAAAGGCTCGCAGAATCAAGTCGCGAACATCGTTGCTGACGATCTGACCTGACGGCGCTGGCGATGGCGATCGCACTGTCGAACCAGTGGGCGAAAAGACGGAACCATTTACTCTCTCTGTCACCGGCGTCGATCTACCGGACTGGCTCGGCGAGCCTGTAGGCAGCGCGGTGGTCGAGGTGAAGAGGTTGGACAGCGAGGCATTGGAACGGCGATAGGGCAGCGATGAAATGGACGATAGCGGCGACTTGCCAAAACGTCTCTTGTGGACAGCGATGGGTGACTGCGATTGCTGCTCGGAATCCGACTCCTGCGGCGATTGCAGTCCCTCATCCGCCGTCGGTGGCATCAGCGAGGTCGGCGAGGGCGAACGGTAGGCAGCGTCGACGGCGGGGAAGCGCGGGCATGAGCGGTGGTGGCGGCGTTATGTTTCGGAGGAGGAGAGGGCGGGCATGTCCAGGGCGGCGGAAAGGTGTCGCGAACGTGTCTCGGCCACGTCGTGAGCGCTGTCACGGAGTACGAATGATGTCGCTTCCGCAAGCAGGTCTTGGCGCCGCTGCTGGAAGAAGTCTACAGCAATCTATCTGATGCATCTTCACAATTCTGTCTACTTTCCAACACGCCTACATTCCCAAAAAGAAGACGATCTGGCACTGTCATTGTTGCTGGTGACTACATTGTGAAGCTCCGCCATCTCATCTCACCGGTGAATGCACTCAGCCACGCGAAGACTGACTCACTTGGCCCTTTCACCTCAAAAGTACCACCCTTTCCGCATCTGCAGTGCTGTCATCCAAGTTCAATGCCAGATCCGGCGGTGCATGTCTCCGGCTCGACTGTACGCAAAATCACCTGAAGGTACCAAGCGGAGACGACTCGACAGCAACAGTCCTGGTCCCGCCAAGCGCAGACATCAATCAACCATGTCGCCTCTCGTGGTGGAAGAGGTCGATGATCAGGCATCGGGATCAGTCTCTGGAGGGATCTCCTGGGAACCAGTCGAGACCACTCTCAAGACGCTTCTTCTGGATGTGGCCAAGTACATTGATGAGAATCCAGCGTCTTCAGACGACCCAGATGCCACAAGTCATGTAGTCGTTCCAGACGAATTGGCAAAGCAACCAATCATCCTCCGCTTCACTGGCGGTTGGGTCCGTGACAAGCTGCTCGGTAAGAAGAGCCACGATATTGATGTTGCCATCAACAAGATGACAGGCTACCAATTCGGACTGCGCCTGAAAGAGTACCTCGAAATTCCGGGGAACCTCGAGAAATATGGTCTGGAGTCTATTGCTTCCAACGACAAGCAGAATCAAAAAGCAGGCAAGAGCGACAAGTCCAAGGCAGTGGGCGGTTTGCACAAGATCGAAGCCAACCCCGAAAAATCTAAGCACTTGGAAACTACCACGATGCAAATCCTCGGCTTGGACATTGATCTCGTCAATTTGAGAAAAGAGACTTACACCGATGAGGAAGGACGCATCCCACAAATCGAGTTCGGCACGCCGGAAGAAGACGCAGAGCGTCGTGATGCAACTGTGAATGCCATGTTCTACAACCTTAATGAGGATAAGATCGAGGACTTCACTGGGCGAGGCCACGACGACATGAAAGCCAAGATCATCAGGACGCCACTGCAGCCATATCAGACCTTCAAAGACGATCCTTTGCGAGTTCTCCGCTTGATTCGCTTTGCCAGCCGACTTGGCTACACAATTGAGTCGACTGCCTTGGAGGCCATGAGGAATGCAGAGATCAAAGACGCACTTCGGCAGAAAATCAGCAGAGAACGCGTTGGGACAGAAATCGAAAAGGCTTTGCAAGGTCCAGATCCACACGAAGCTCTTCGTCTGGTTTTCTCACTCGGCCTGTACGAGACAATCTACTCTGATCCAGCCAAGGCTGAGATCGAACATGATACACCTGATGTTGAAGGGTGGGACGTTCTTATCGACACCTTGAAGGACATGATCAGTAATGGCAATGTGGTACAAGAAGAGCTTATGAGAGATCACGAGGAGGAAGTGCTAGCGTGGCAGCTTTCTGCGATGGTGCCATACCGCAATGCACCATTTCCGGAACCTTTACAGCCTGGCAAGAAAGCGCCGCCTCCAATACCAGTGCAGGTGGCAAGAGAGGGTGTTAAGGCACCTAACAAGATCTGCGAAGTGATTAATGCCGCTGTCCGAAACCAGTCCGAGATCTCCGACGTGGTTGACAGGCTGTATCAGAAGAAGCGTCGACCAGACAAGGTCATCGAAGGAGACGATCCATCTGCAAGAGATGTTCTTGGCATGGCGATTCGACGATGGGGGCCTAGTTGGAGAAGCCAGGTCATGTACTCGCTGCTAGTCGAAGTGGCCAACACACAAGATCAGGTCGAAGGTGAGCAAGGCTTTGTCTTTCTTTTCACTTTCTTCAATACTGACGCTCAACAGCAATCGAGCGACGATACACTACCTTCGTCGAACACCTGCGCCAACTGGAGTTGACTGATGTCTGCGCCTTCAAGCCACTTATGGATGGCAAGGAGCTCGCCAAGGCGATTGGTATCAAGCCAGGACCCTGGATGAAGGATGCACTCGACGTAGTGATGGCATGGCAGCTACGGAACCCAGGCACTGCCGACACAGCAAAAGCCATCGAAGAGGTGAAGAACCACCAGACAAATGGTGAGCTTACTTCTGATCTTGTCCAACACTTCTTGAAGCTTACCATTCGCCCGCTTTTCATCAAGGCCACCCCAGCAACGGTCACTGAGCAAGGCCGTAAGGTCACTACCGAACGACTACCGGAGAAGCTCACGATGAGTTCGATGGACGATAACGTCAAGAAGCCATGGAAGACTGCCAACGACTCGTACTCGCTCGATGTGTTGGCCTGGGTCATGCGTAGCTTAGACGAGAAGCTCGTAGCCCAAGTCTGGCCTCTGATTATCCCACCTCTCTTGACACTTGTCGACGACTGGGAAGCCAGATACAAGTGCATCGGCGCCGACTTCATCGATGCCCTCCTCAAATCCACACCTTCCGCCCTTCTCGAACGCACAGGACTTGGAGAAGTCTTCGAACAGGCTCTCATGCCCTGCCTGACATATTTACCCACCATTACTGAGGAAGAAGAATCTATTCCGCTCCTCTCATCCGTTTACCCAGCCCTTCTCACTCTGGCACGAAAACGCTTTCCCAACGAAGAGCCTGCACCACCTACCACGACTCCTCTCACTCCAACAGCTCGACAAAAAGTGCAAATGCTGGATACCATAATCCGCAAAGGTATCATCTACGGGTACTCTCATTGCGGAACTTCAAATCCGAAAATCACGACTGTTCTGTTCTCCAACCTGGCGATCTACTTGCAAGAACTTGGCATCGACTCCGTCAAGCACCCGAAATTCCTCATCCCAACCCTAAGTGAAGCGCTGTCGTCTTCAACTGGTACAGCCACGATTCCGATGTTGCTGAGTGCAACGGATGCTTTGCAAGCAGTTATCAGAAATGCCTGGCCGAGGATGGCTGGATATCGTGGAGAAGTGCTGAAAGGAGTGACATTGTGCTGGATCAAAGTGATGGGTGGAACTGGCGATGAGCTGGAGCAGCTGAGGATAAAATTGAAAGAGACAGTAAAACTTCTCGGTGCGGCTGTGAAGAGGGAATGTGATTTCGAGGCAGAGAAACGACTTCTACTCAAAGCAGATGCGAGATTAGAAGGCTTATTCGCTTGAGTCTAGATCAGAAAAGCATCGGAAAGAACAATAAACTCTTCATTCGTGTACCTGACTGACAGCTATCACAACTCTCAACAGAAAGCACTCGCATTACATTCAGTTCAATTTCTCCACACATCACTACCACTACCACTACCACTACCACCATCCTCGACCCTGCATCGACCACAGCCTTCCTCGCCCTTACTACAAACTACTACGCCACCGGATCACGCGCATTCCCCTCACACCACATCACAGGCCCATACCTAAAAACATACGAACAAGGGCCCGTCTGCGGATTATTCGCACCGCCACCACCGCCTGGCGTAGGAGCCACAGGCGTTCCAGTCGGTGCTCGCGTAACCCTCACAGTCGTAGCAGGTAAAGTCGTCGTCACAGCGTTTCCTGTTACGGTACTCGTAGGGCCTGTAGCGGTCGCTGTAACAGTTTGGAATGTGGTGGCGATTTGGGTTGCGGTTCCGCCGTTTTGGGTGCTGATTGCTGTGGTGGGTTGGGTGGAAACTGCGGTTGTGGTTTGGACGAGGGTTGTGGCGAGGGTGGATTGGGAGGTTGTGGTGAAGGTTGAGGTTAGGACTGTTAGGGAGGTGGAGGTTAGGGTTCGGCCTGGGAGGGTGCGTGGTGTTAGTCTTCTTCTCTGTTTGATTTTGTCTGAAGACGGAGTTTGGACGAACCTGCGATTGTGCTGACGGCAGTTGTCGTTGCGGTGAAGGCGGTCGTGTAGGTTACATCTTGGGTGCTGACAATGATGGTTGTTGATGGGTAGCTGGAAACTGCGGTTGTTACTTGGGTTGTAGCGGTGGTGACTGTGACTGTCGATGTTGGAGCAGTCAGAGTTGCTGCATTTTGTCGCTTCTGGTGCCTTTCGGCACGGCCGGCGATTTTTATCAGTGTCGTCTGCGATTGTGTGTCAGTTGATTCTTCGTAGCGCTGAGGCATCACATACCGGAGAGGGGCCAACGATGTCGTCGAAAAGTTGCTGGTTCAGATGTTAGCCTAAGTTTGAATGAAGTTGGCCGGTCGAGGTTGACTGTCTGTTGCATTGGGAGAGGATCCAGAGTTCGTGATACTTACAGCAAGACCTGCATCTTGAGCAGCTGGAGCCTCCGCGTCGACAGCATTCGCTTGCTCCACCGCGGCGCCCTCAGCACTCCGATCAAGAAGTTCTCCAGCTTCTGCTAGGCTCCGTCGCTCGTCGGCATTAACATTGTTGAGTTGGGACTGCTCTTGGGACAAGTCCGCGGCGTGGGCGACAGTGACTAGACAGCAAATGGCAGCTGAGATGAGGCGTTTGCCGTACATGACTGGAGATGCGGCGACGCGCCGTTGCACAGTGCTAGCTGCGAAGAAGACTTTCGCGGGAGGGGCGGTCTATGGGAGACAAGGACGCGCCATATCATGATTAGCCGTGGCGGCGTGCGCTACATACCAAAGCTCGTTCGTTGCCATGCGGACGACTCGGGGCGATGCGCGGTTCTCGGCCTAACCGAAGTACTGGGTGAGGAATGTTATCGATGGGGAAAGAGTGCCATTAGATCTCGCCTGTACTGTCCATACATCTTGCAGGAAGTGCTGATCTGCAATTTGAAAATCAGTGATTACATTCCTCATTACCGCGCACTGTGTAGGAATGCAACCCAATATTGGAGAGCATAGACTCTGTCAGGCAGTTGCCCGCCATCTATGAGCGTTCGTCGCGCTTCGAGGGCGCTGAAGTCTTCAGATTCGCAGAGATTCACTGACGCGGTCCTGCAGCTGCCAGCCATCGCTGAACTGCCAAAAAACATCCTGGTGCCGTAGTCTCGAGACTCGCAGAGATTCGATTAGCACGAGTCATCATTTCCCCCAGGACAGAAGACACAGTTTTCGATGTTCAAAGACCAAGCCTGCATCTCCAGACTCACACACTGCTTCTCCTGGGGATCGGTGATATCTACACATAGCACCACGTTAGCACACCCCTCATACTCCTCAAAGTCAACCGAAAAGAGCACTCACGTCTCGGAAGCTCATCTTCACAACTTGGCCCTCGAAAGAGACGAATTTTGCAGCCTCTGATCAACTGCCATCCCGTCCTTGGAACACGCGGATACTCAAAGGCTATACTGTTGAACGGCCACTCGAAGCTGTGACAGTTGCGTCCCCTTAACCCTGCGACCTTGAAGTGATTTTGTTCCATTTGTGTGGTGCAGTTCCCGTCAGTGTAGCGCACGAGAGCCATTTTCTCGCCTTGCTTGGAGCGTCCATGGGAATCCCAGGGGTCGATGACGGGTTCCCAGGCGCGAGAAAGGCTCAGTAGGGTGCTGAGAGCAGAGATGATGAGAAGTGGGAAGCGCATGCTGGTTTGTCTCTGCTTGTGCGACTTGAGTGGGTTGCGGATAGTCGCTATAACTGGGACCGTGGTGTGTGATGTATTCGAGGAGCGATATGCTGTGCGTGAAATGATTGTTGCGCTATCTCGTACGAAGAAAATCGTTCATTTTTCAGGTGGTGCGCCAGGTGGCATCTTCCCTCGCTGCGACTCGAGGATTTATGCTTATTGTACTTACCAAAGAATGCAGCGGACAGCTGCCGCTGGTTCACTGCGGCATCGTACCATACAAGGCGTTCAAGTCGAACTGCACTCACCTTTCAGCCCTCGAGAAGTGTTCATGGCCACCGAAGGGATCGTGAAGTATGGCCATTTCTGATGCACTGCGGCGCTGGCCGGCATCCTGGTCGGACGTGAGGAATATGGAAGAGCGCGGGCTGGCGACGTCGAGCAGACCGAGTAGCAGTATTGCAGGATCACGATGGCGTTGTCGTGTATACGAGCAACTTGCAGGCCTGTTCCTTCTCTCCCCGCGCGCTGTCGTCTTGCTAGGGACACGGCTATCCGGTTCTTGCCGCTTTCCTCCCAATATCTTCGTTCCAGCAAACTTGACCCCAGACTTTCTACAATGCACCGATTTACATGTGCCTCCGTCGACAAATACGCCTGTGCAGCGACCTCACTCAGCGTATAAGGATATTCCCCTTCTGGACAATGGCGGCGGCGGCAAGTGCCTGAAATATCAGCCCACAGCAACAGCTTCATCCGGCAGGCGAGTCTCGCGATGCGTACAGGAGGTAGTCAACAAACGACCAGTAATAATCTGATCACGCGCAGGAGCTCTGCATCTCGCGCGTGCAGCTGGTGGCAGTGCGCGCCAAGACGAAAGTCTCCGCCAGCCGAGGCCGTCCGCTGGTATGCGTGTTCGGGGGTTCCAGATTGGGCAAGATACACGCTTCTGTGACTTTGCGGCCAAGAAGATGGTGTCCTACAGACGACCAGACCGCGTCGCTCGTAGCTGGAGAGGGAGTGCTGAGTCGACAGCTACGACTGGAAAACTCGTTCGACATGGAGCCCCTAACTGATGCGTTGCGCGTCATGCTCAGCACCCTCGTTTGAGCTCGTACCCGTTGAAACACGCGACTCGTGCAGCGTGGTCGCCACACTCAAGGCGACATCTTGACCGAATTGGCTCCCGCTCGCTGAGAGACATGGCACAGAGAAGTATTTCATGCTTGTCTTCTGGAAGACCATGTGCCTGCGGCGAGGCTTTTGGTACAGGAGATTGTACACATCTCGCCTGCACGACCTGTCCAATCACCCGGGAGACAACAAAGTATTTCCAAGAACCATGAAGCCTTGGCCCAGGTCCGAAAATGTGATGCAGGACCTCAGTCCGCCAAAAACGTACGCTGATTGGCTCGTTTTGTGGCGAGCTCACAACTGGATTTCTCCAGATCAACAGTAGAGTTTGGTCTCCGCTGCTTGGCTGCATGGCCGACTTTCACCTGCGAGCCGATCTGGGGAAAAGATGGCCATGAACGCTACCGAGGAGCTTGGCGAATGGCAAGTTCGCTGTACATAATGCTCCTCGTGGTCGTCGTACCAATCTCGTCCCTCACGGCTACAGGAGGTTACTCTGTCCTCTCTTCATCAGTACAGAACAACAGCTGCCATCATGGACCCCGAGAAACATGACGTGGAGAAGCTCGAGGTGGTCGAGGCCAATAGCGACACCTTGAGCAATGGGGACGAGGAGCGGGAGAACAAGGTACGAATTGAGAAGAGCATACGTTTTCACGACACTGACCAGAGGCACGTAGGTCACCTTCGGCTTCTTCATGACGATGTTGGGCATGGCTATGGCATTCATCGTGGCAGAAGTCACTCCGCTTTTCTTCGTTACCTGCTTCACCGTCATTGCGTTCGATCTTGGAGCCATCGAGAAAGTCATCTGGGTCTTGGTCGCGCCTTACATTGCCACCGGAGCCGTTGCACCATTCGTTGGTTCTCTCTCCGATCTCATGGGCCGCAAAGGTCTCATCCAGTTCTCTCTGGTTCTGGTCATTGTGGCCTTCATCTTGCAGGGTGCCGCACCCAACTTCGCCTGCTTCCTCGTTGGCGGAACATTGGCAGGCGCTGCTATCGGTATCCAGCTTCTCTCTGTTATTGCCGCAGCTTCTGAGCTGGTCTCTGTTTCCAAGCGTGGTGCCACAATTGGATACATCGTGATGGGCTTTATCCCATTCGCGCCTGCCTCGCTCTATGGCCAGCTCATCGCAGAGCACGACTGGAGATACATCTTCGCACTTCTCGCTGCCTGGTCATTCATCTCATTCGTGGTTCTCCAAATCTGGTATCACCCTCCACCACGACCAGCTGCACTTGGCGCAACCAAGAAGGAGCTTCTCATGCGCATCGACTATGGCGGAAGCGCGTTGTCGATCCTTGCTGTCGTTCTCTTCCTCATCGGTATCAACTGGGGAGGAGCGGACTATCCTTGGAGATCGGCCCAAGTCATTGGCATGCTTGTCGCCGGTATCGTCACCTTCATCCTTTTCATCCTGTACGAAATCTACGTGACGAAATATCCAATGTTCCCCGGACGACTTATTCAGAGCAAGAGACACTTTATCTCCGTCTCCGTGCTTTGCTTCACATCTGGATTCAATTACATTCCGTAAGTAACAATGTCCTGCCACTCTCGGTTTACTGGCACACGAGCTTACATTTTGCAGATTGACTGTCTTCTGGACTATCATGACCTACACCGTATACGGCGCATCCTTCAAAGAAGCTGGTATCTGGCTCCTTCCGCTTGGTTTCTGTATCGCTGGAGGTGCCATCGTCTCCGCAATTGCGATCACAGTCTTCAAGAAGCAGATTGTATGGGTTCTGCTCGTCTTCTGCGTCATGCAGGTGGTCGGCATTGCGTGCATGGCACTCTACGATCCAAACAATATCAACACTGTCTGGGGCCCAATGATCATCGGACTCATTGGTGTCGGCGCTGTTCTTCTGCCATCACAGGTCGTCTTCTCCGTCATCTCCCCCGACGACCTCATCGGAACTTCTGTCGCGCTCTCACTCGTGATCCGCATGATCGGGCAAGTCATCGGAAAGTCCATGTTTTACAACCTTTTCCGACAACAAGTTACGAAGAAGGCTCCAGCCATTATCGGTATTCCTGCTGTCCTCGCTGGGTTCATTGTCCCACCAGGCGAGCCTAACGCTGGCTTGCCCGATGTTGCACGAATTACAAAGCTGGTTACTACCATGACGGCTGGTCCGCTCGACCACTATCTGTCTCTGTTCCCGCAAATCGACACTCCAGAGGAATTAGCTTCGATTGTCGCCGCCGGCCAGGAACTGTACTCGAAGTGCTTCCAGCTGTTGTTCTACGTCAGCATTCCATTCGGAACTCTGGCTATTGTCAGCTGCTTTGGTCTCTGGGGAATTGAGAAGTATATGACCAAGCGTGTGGCGGTTCACTTGCACTAGAGATTTGCAAGGTGCATATAGCATGATTTGAACGAGAAATGACAGCGCCCTTACGAGGGCTATGAACTTCACCTGTTTCGTAAGAGTGCCCTTAGCCGGATGTCCCAAACTTTGCAAAGCCTGTCGAATGCGCAGGGAGTGATGTAGACAACTTGCTTGAGCCAAAGCTCAATTTGTTTCTGTGGGTTGACACAAAGGAGCTAAGACGTCCAGTGGAAGTGGGCAAGCATATCGGCGACTCGATCAGTACTTGGAATTTCGACTACCGCAGCCCACTACATGGGATACCCAAAATCTGGTAACTGAGCGAAGGCCAAAAGATCCCTAAATTAATCAGAAATCTAGCTTTCGAATGGCAAAGTCTCATATCAATACCAGATAAACAAATCATAAACTACCAGATAACTGTTCTCTTATAACCTTATGACTCCCCTGTTTCTGCCGCGCCAGTTGTACAATACACGTCTCACCATAAGGATTCTTCGCACCATTAAGCATCGCCGCGGCTTTTTTCGCTTCACGAGCATTTGCCAAATCGACGAAACAATAATGGCCTGTTGGAAAGCCGGGTCCTTGTCGATTCGGAGGTGGAGAAATGAGTTTGCTGACGGCTTGTAAGTTGAAATCTTTGAATAGCGTTTTCATTTCGAGTTCGAGGGTGTAGTATTGGGGAATTCGAGGGAGGCGGCCGACGAAGAGTCTGCGGCCTTCTTCGGCGGGGGTGGTCCAGTGGGTGTGAGCGTCGTCGCGGTGCCAGCGGTCGAAGACGTAGGGAGGTTGTTCGGCTTGATTTGGTGTTGGGGATGGGTTGGGTTGGGTTCTCCAGTTGTTTTGAGATCTCCAGTTTTGGTTATCTTTTCTGTCACTGGAAGAGAGGTTGTTGTTTTGTGGCGAGGCTGTCCTTCGTTTGGTGTTGAGATTGATTTTGATTGGTCTTCCTCGTACATTCTCGCCTTGGAGTGTATCTAGCACATGCTGAGCTGTTTCTCGATCGTAGAAGTCTACGAAGCAGTAACTTGGATTTCGTCCGGTGAAGGGATCGACTGAGATGTCGATGTTTTTGCTAGAAATCAGTCAGATCTATGCAGGCAACGATGTAGTGAGATCTTACTTACACTGTAATATTATGCTGCTGGAACAGTGTTTCGATGTCCTTTTTTTGAGCAACGTAGGGCAAATTGCCTACGTACAGCCTGGGTGTTTCTTCCATGCTGTGTTCCTCTGTGCCAACTCGTCAATTCGGACGCCACTGTGGTCGTAGTGTCAATGTTATAGCAAACTCACTGCCCACAAGATGGCAGCAGCGCTCGAATGGAGCTCTTTGTCTTTCTTGGAGATTTGGTAATCTGTTTGCGTATAGTACAGGGATAGCCCACGTGATGGGCATGCGCTCTTGGCGCGACCAGAAGCTTCCTTTTGGGAAGCATGAATGGTTTGCAATACCTTTGTCGTGTGGCGGAAAATGGATGACTCCCGAAATGAGGTCCACCAGTCATTGGTCCATTCATGACATCCTTGGCCAGCGCCTGGCCAAGTGCTGAATATATGTAGTGTACAATGAAGAAACTTTTATACACTGCACAAGCTCATGAGGTGAGTGGTCCTGAATGCCGCGGCCATGCGCGTCCAAATCCCTGTGCAAACGCCGCTGCTATGCCTTCAACTGTATCTTTTCATTCACATCTGCCACCTCGCGCCTTGACGTTCATACCATCCACGTCCCATCACATCATCGTCTCTTCCGTCCCATTGCAATCGCCCTGGCTGAGAGCAGCTGCTTCCTAAGCTCTTGCTGCTGTATCACTGAGAACAACGAGTGATTCAGAGATGAATTCTTCCCAGGCGACTTCATCTCCCTCGTGGGCGCATACAATAGTCGCGAGCGAACGTCTTGGCCTATTCGACGTTCGCCGACTCTCCAGCGTCCGAGCTCGCACCAGTAACAGATATGCTTGGGTCGACGGCGATCATCTCGGCGAGGATATCAAGGATTGGCTGTTCACAAACACGTTAGCTACCGTTGATTCCATCACCCCGGTCATCTATTGGAAATTTACCTTTGGCACTGTCTTGTCGTAAATGCTAATCAACTCTCTCGGCTGTGGGTAGACCTTCAATGCCTTGTAAAAGCACAGCGCAGCCTCTACGGGATCGCTTCCATCCTGGCACATTCCCTCACCCCGTGCGACCTCCTGCATGAAGTATGCCTCTGTCTCCTCGGGATCGCGAGGGAAGCCCTCCTCGTTTGCTTCATCGACAACAGCCCGGATCTTCAGTTTTTGCTCCTCCTCAGCGGCCTTGGAGGATTCGTTCACTTCTTTGGCGACTTTCTTGTGCTGGCGTTTGAGATATTTTCTGAATTCGGGGTCGCTGCGGCGTCGGTAGTCGAAGTAGAATGCATAGCCAATGCCGCTGACGGCAAGGAGGGATGCGATGCCAGCGACTATGGTGGTTGCTGAGGGACCAGATGAGGGTGTTGTAGATGCCATTCTTCTTTCTCGATTGCCTGTTATGTACTGTGTATCTCGGCGATCCTAGGCGTGATGATTCTGGGTGTTGTGTCGACTGGTACAGAGCGAAGTTGATGTTGAAGAACTTTTGGGGCGCGTCGAACTAGTCCAGTGATGCAAAGCTGGGAAGCTGTCGCGGTTCTTGGCTTCGCCGTCGTCACTGCACGGAGGATCGGCGGTCCGCCCGGGCGAGAGCTCACCCAGACCGGAGCTCCCATTGTCGATACAACAGTCCAGAGCCGTCGCCGTGATGAGTGAGAGCAAGGGCATCTCGCTGCGTCGTAAGAAGACGACGGCAGCGCGCCCCATCATCTCCGGGCCCATTCAGCAAACGCCGCGCGATCCCTCCACCGACAGGAACAACTCCACCTACAGCAGCGTCGCCGACGCGAAGTCCACCAGGAGCGATGCTACCTCGCGCGAACGACTCCGACTGGGCGGTGACCAGACGAGCGACCTCGTGAAGCGGCGCTATAGCACGCGTTTCACCGCTGGCATCCCGCAAGATGGCCCAGCTCCGCCCATGCCGGCCATGCCGAGCATGCCCTCGCAATACCGCAGCGATGCCGCGAGCCAAAGGAGCAGGTCGCGTCCTGGGCCTGGCGGAAGAGGACCTTCTGCACCGGCGAGTGGGAGGACATCACCGGACAAGGGCGGAGAGCGCGGACCTTCGAAGCTGAAGATTGATATGCGCGCATTGAAGGACCCAAACCTGCAGGCTGAGAAGTACGTGCAGGCTATACTGGCCGATGCCACCGAGCAGGATATCGAGGCCTATCAGCGAGACTTGCAGGGCGTCAAGGCACATACAGATGCAGATCTCCAGCACAATGTCTTTCAGAATCGCACCCAATTCATCAAGATCTCCAAGGAGGCCGATAAGCTGAAGACGGAGATGAGAACTCTACGGACTTTGATGAGCGATCTGACAGGCGCATTGGGACATGCTGCCAGCGCTGGCGGCGCCGACTTCAACACCGCAGCAAGTACGCTCAGCTTGGCGGACAGGAAGCGCGCCAATAGGAGTAGCGTTGCCAATCTGGAAGCCATGTGGAGTACGCATCTACAGACATTGTGGAAGAGGGTGGAGGGCAGTCAGAAATATTTGCCTGCCTTGCCTGGGCGACATATTATCATGGAGAGCCAGCGATGGGTAGAGCTCAATGCTGCGACCTGGAAGCCGCGAAGGCGTGTAGCGCTGGTTCTGCTCAACGATCATTTGCTGGTCGCAAGCGAGAAGAAGCGTCCTGCAGAGGCGGCACCACAGAAGAATAATCGCCAAAGCATGTATGGCGGGCCGCAAGGCTCATCTCAGACCACGCTCGTGGCAGATCGCTGCTGGCCGCTGCACGATGTGAGCCTCGCAGACATCTCAACCCGCGCCTCTACTACGATTGGACACTCCAACAGCAAGGAGAATAAGGCCATAGCCAACGCCATCAATGTGAGGGCAGGCAACGAGAGTTTCACATATGCGATAGCCGATAGTGGCGACAAACTGGGCCTTATTGTGGCTTTCCGCAAGGCGCAGGAAGACCAAAGAAAACTGCTCGCCCAAGAGCACAGCAAGCGCGAGAAAGAGCTGGACCAGCTTGCATATCTTTCCGCTCGAGATCCACGCTCGCTCAAGAAAGCTGCTGCAGCGGGTCAAGACTCAAGTGACGCGAATTCTTTCAGCAGTCTGTCTCGCAGCAACTCTGTACTGGTCGATGTCGATGGTCGCCCTCAATCGATTCGCTGGGTCGAGTCACAAGTCGACGGGCTTGATATCGACATTGCTCTCCAGCACTTCGAAGATGCCGTCTCCCGAGTCGAAAAGTTGCGCAAAATGGCGCGAGGAATCAAAGGCAATCAGACGGCTCAGGATATCATCCAGGCGAAAGTCAACGAACGCGCGTCTAAGCTTGCCAATGTTGTGGCGAGACAGCTTGGCTACGAAAGTGGTGGTCAAGAGGCGACACAGCGGTCTGTATCCTGGTTGCTTCGTCTCGGCTTCGAAGAACTCGCTCGCACGACGTACCTCGGCGCACGAACAGATACCATTCGCATTCGCACTCGCTCCTTGCCCTTCACTGGTGCGCTTGAACCGTACGTCAAAGCGTTGTCCTTCACGACGTTCACACTATTGCTGCATACCTTTCGAACATTCAACGTCAGCTTTTCTAGTACGAGCGGTAGCGCAGTGGTTAAGTGGGCGAAGGAAAGAGTTGACGAATTCAATGCTACTCTGGCAAGACAGATGAGTAGTATTGAGAAGGATGGCGAGTTGTGGAATGCTTGTGTGAGCATCGTGAGAGAGAATGCCCAAGCGTTGAGAGAGGTCGGTGTAGACTTTCACGGAATTGTGGCGAGAGGACTCGAAGAAGGTGGCGTGAAGGAAAGGCATGCCAATGGTGCTCCTGGCGTTGGGCTTGGCGTGACTACTTGAATACCGGCACCAGCTCTTCTAGATCCTGGGGTAAGGTGAAGTCAAAACAGCACAGCTAGGATATGGAAATCAGCTGGCACAAGCAGTGGACGTGGTACGGGGAACAACATGCCAGTGCCAGGATAGGCATTCTTTCAAAGCGACCCGGACGACCATTTTGCAATTGACATTTCTATGTCCCCGCTTGCCCGCTCATTCACATTTGAACTCCAGGCGCATTTTGGATCCAGAAGAGTCACGCTACGATGAACGATAATCCCAAGGGTCTCGCAAGTTCAGCCATTTCCGGGCCGGCTCACCGTGGCGCAGACTTGCATCGGTCGATGAGACATTGGGTACCATTGTATCTAAGGTACCGATACCTCGCCAATGCGATTTCCTGGGCATGTCGAAATTTGCGACTAGAAACTGCAGGCTTCGGCCCATGCAGAGAACCAGTATGATTCACTGCATTACCTGCATTCGACGCATGCCCATCTATCCCGCAGGGAATGCTATCATCAGATTCCCGGGCAGGAGTTGGGAGATCATGATACGCATGGCGAAATAGGTATCCAGACATCTCCTACGCCTGATCTATCATCCTGGAAGAGACCTACTCGATCAGGCTCGTGCCATCACGTCACGCACGCGAAAATGGTCAATGCAGGCGAGGAAACCTTTGCGTAAGGCTGCGCACGAGCGATGGCAACCAGGTACCCGCGTACCTTCAACCCGGTCCATTGGCCGAACAACGATATCTGTCGACGGAATCACCTTCCATCCGCACAAGGCGCGACATTCTGACGCAGGTACCGCGGACCGCCCGCGGAAAGCCGGAGTTCTCCCGGCCAACTTTTTTCTGGGCTGCTTGCGTTGAGGGTAAATCGCGATATGCAAACGAACGGTCTGACGAACGCTGACGCTCGGTTGCCGATAAGCGGATTGTGTGGGATTGTAGAAGTAGACAGGACATCCCACGCAGGACATTAACTAGTGTATCGTCCGCGACGTGCGATTTCTTCCAATTGCTTTTCTGGGATTGCGGTGAAGAGGCTTTGGCGTCTGCATTGGATCACGTGAGTGGGTTTTCGTTACCAAGGGAAGGGAAGAGAGGGACTTTGGCTGCATTTGTTACGTCGGACATCCCGCGTTGGGCAGGTGGGCTTTTCGTCGTTCCACGAACTTGGGACTTCTGGTTTCGGGTTGGTTTCATCGGAAGTTCAAGAACAGGAACGAAAGTCGACAAGGTATCTGGCAACACTTCACTGAGCTCAACAATCCTGCTTAAGTCCCAATCGGAACAAGCAATAGTCGTGTTCAGAGACAAAGTTCTGGCATAGCAGCGTATCGTCACTATGGGCTGGAATACTGTTCTTACCCTTGACAAAGACGTCACACCGGTTCCTCGATCGACTTCTACGACAGAGCAAGAAGATACATACAGCACTCAGCACAGTATTGCATGCTCAAGCAATAAAACCTCATTCGAAATGCCACATTCACAATCCCAAGATCCTCAATCATACAATCGATCCCGTCGACGCTCCTCCACGCTCGCCAACCTCAGCGACACCGAAGAAACCCACCCTCCCAAATCCCGCCGCCGCTCCTCAGCCCTCAACACAACCCTACTCTCCCAACTCCGCCTAACCCAACGCCAAAAACCACTAACCTCCCGCCTCCTCACACTCCCTGCCGAACTCCGCAACCAAATCTACATCACCTATTTCACCCATCCAACCTACTCCGAAGACTGCCCACCACGAATCCGACCCTCATATACTCTCCCACCCCTCCTCAAAACTTGTCGCCAAATTTACAACGAAGCAATCGGATTATACTATTCCGCTACACCTGCTTTCCGATGCTTAGATGAGGATTCTACTGTCAAGTGGTTGGTGAATTTGCCTGAGAGGTGGAGGGGAATGTTAAAAGAGGTGAGGTTTGATACGAGGTGGATTATTTTTTCTACGCCTTTTATTCCGGTTCCGGGGGCGGAGTTGTGGTTGGTGGGGGAGTTGGTGGGGAAGTTGGAGAAGAGGGGGTTTGATTGCGAGAGGTGGTTGTTTAGGGAGGGTGAGGGGAGTGGGAGGGTAGAGGATGGGGAGGAAGGAGGAGAAGAAGAAGAAGTGACGACTACGACTGGAAAGTTGAAGTGTAGCTTTTATCGGAGAGGTGGTGGGGGCCAGGAGGGGGCGATTATTTGGACGGATAAGCCGGGGTTGATTGAGAGTGTTACTGCTGCTGTGTAGAAGGATTTTTCTTTGATACCCTGTGCGAGGAGTTATGGTTATGCGTTTTCTTGGTGTGTTTCTGGCGAAGCGTGGTACGGTCTTTCTTCGAATGACACGAGCATTTAGCAAGATTTGCGTGTGCACTCACCCAAAATGTTGAAGAAACAAAATTGGACAATCACACAGTGCGCTTCTTTCTCATCAGTTCATTCATGACATCATCCACTCATATCACACATCAAAAATCTTCCGCTCCAACCCCTTCCTCCATATCTAATACCCACAAATCCTCCTCTCCCCCGGCCCATCCAACGTAGGCACAACCTTCCTAATCAACCCATCCTCCCCAAACTCCAACTTATCAACCGTCGTCTCCCGATGCGTCCCATCCCCATTCGGAATCCTAAACCTATGATACGCAATAAACCACTCATCCGTCCCCGGAACATTCACAATCGAATTATGCGCCGTGCCCAAAATCCCTTGACTCTCATCTTTCTCTAAAATCACTCCATGATAAGTCCAAGGTCCTGTAGCGGAAGGTCCGGTGGCGTATCCGACGCGATAGTTCGGACTTCCGGTGTCGTCGATTGAGTAGGTGAAATGGTAGTATGGAGCGCGATAGACGACGAAAGAAGCTTCGCGGAAATCTGTCAGACCGGAGATAGATTGGAGGGTTGAGGGGATGATGGATTTCATATCCTGGGAGAGTTCGGCCATGACGGGATTTCCGTTTCCCCAGTAGAGGTAGAATTTTCCTGTGATGGGGTCGTGGAAGGCTTGAGGGTCGATGGCTTGGCCGGAGGTTATGGCTTCGTTGTTGAGGATCATGGCTGTGGGTTCGGCGGTGAAGGGGCCTTCGGGGGAAGAAGCTACGGCTACGCCGATGGTTTTGCGGTCGTAGGTGGGGTTTTGGCCGGAGAAGTAGAAGTAGAATTTCCCGTCGCGTTCGATGAAGCCGGGGGCCCAGGCGTTGCCTGTGGCCCAGGGGACGTTGCCGTTTGTGCCGTTCAAGGTGAGGAAGGCTGTGTCGGAGCGGGTCCAGGTGACGAGGTCGGAGGATTTCCAGACGAAGAATTGTTGGCCGCCCCAGCCTGGGAAGCCGTCGGTTGTGGCGTAGATGTAGTATTCGCAGCCGACGATGGCGATGTTGGGGTCTGCGTATCTACGGATACAGGTGATGATCAGCATGTGCTGTGGTATGTATAAAGCTATGCTACAAGTAGATGTGTTACCTACAGGCCTGGAATCAAAGTGCTGCGCTTCTGCAGCTTGTTTTCCTCCCGCTTCGCCAGTGCGCTCGTCAGGCGCTGAAGTTCGGCTGCAGTTACTGGGATGACAGTGCCATGGCGAGGGCTCGTTGGCAGTTTGTATGAAGGGGAGACCTTCCAGTCAGGGTTGGCAATGTCTGCTGTCTCGAGTGGGATGTATCCTCTTCCACCATACTCGTCCACGAAAAGGTAGAACTTGTCGCCATTGACATCAGCAGGATTTGCGCGGAAGGAAGTTGGGCCTTCAATGGCCTGAGTTCCTGCGTCGCGGCCAATGCAGCTTGCCACTGTCGTCCACCCATCGAGTTGACTCAGAAGTGTTGGTGAACTCTCTTGAATGATATCGGTGCAGCCTGTCACTCCACCCTCATCCTTTGTGAAGCGGTAGAATGTATCGCCAGATTTGAGGACTGTGGAGTCAATGCGAGATGTTCCAGCGTCTTGCCAGATCTTTGCTTCGCTGAAAGTGATAAAGTCCTGAGTGGTGGCGTACATCATTCGGTGGTAGGTGTTGCCAGTGTGGTTGGTATCGTCTTCGGCATAGAGACTTGACGCCCAGTAGACCACGTAAGAGCCAATGTCTTCGTCGTAGTAAGCTTCTGGTGCCTGGACAGAGGTCAGCGAAGGTTGTTACTGGCTTTGCAGCTGTTGTGTTGCCACGTACCCATGTGTTGCCGGCAGTAGGAGGCGACACAAGCACGTGTCGTTGCTCTGACCAGTTGACAAGGTCTTCGCTCTCCCAAATCTCAAGATATCTGCTCCCCGTCCTCACTGAGTCTCCCCATGATGTGCCTGACCCAATCGACAAGTCTGTCGCTATGAGGAAGAACTTGGTGCCGTCGTTCGATCGGATAACAAATGGGTCCCGAAGACCTTTCGTGCCTTGGTTTGAAGATAGCACGGGTTGACCTGGGAGCAAGTTAGAAGTGGAAGCGATGAATGTCACGAGTAGGTAGCATGAGCCACTCCACATCGATCTGGAATATGGCTGATCGATTTACCTCCATTCAGCTCTTGCCAATCCAAAGCATTATTGCCATTGCTGGCAGCCAAGTAGATTTTCTCGCCATCGATGGAGTTGCCTGTGAAATAGGCAAATGCATAGCCTTCATATTGTGCATCTTGCCTCGTGTTCAATATAGGGCTGCATTGTGTCAGTGTGGCAAGGCTAGTCGCAGCTGTGAGCAGCTGAACCGCAAAAGACCGCATATTGAAATGAAGACCTAGAGTTTTGCAGGTGATCCGACCAGAAACACTACAATGGCATTGACGCCAACCTTATGTCTACATGTTGACGTCCATCTTTGGGTGACATCGTGAACAATTCTTCCGGCGCAGGCATATCCAGGTTGCAAGTAAGACCTTGGCAGGGCAATTAGGGCACTTCTTGGTGGCGAAGCAGTCTTCATGACGCAGTTCGGCATGTGCTGGAGCGCTGCCGAGAGGTTGCATGATGATATACGGCATGTGGAGCGAAGCTGTAGTGGGAAAAGGATCAGAAAGATTGATGGAGAAATGCGCCGTCCCTCCACATCTCCGCATTGTTGTCGGTCTCGGCATCCCACAGTCCGGTTAAATGCTCCTGCCGATGCCCAGCCGTGAGGGAGGGACAACCAGTCTCATCACGTGACGCCGTCTATTTCCGTCTTCCTTTCCGTTTCGGACCGTGGAGCACTGAGTTGACGATTTGCCTTTGGTCCAGTTCAAACTCCCTGTTCTTCAACGGCATTTGACACCTCTGACACTTCTGCGACTTCTCGGACGGGAAAACCGTTCGTTTTGGCAGGCGTTGCACAGCGCAGGACCTCTGTCACTGTCTCACGCCCACTGCCATCCTCATGGCGGCCGACAGCCACAATTGCGTTGAGCCGCTCTCGAAGACCCTCCGTCTACGAGCATGCCTGCTCCACGACTGAGGACGAGGGTTTCTCCTCCCTGATGGCGCAAACTGTCATGGTTTCTGCAATCTCGACGGCGGAGCGCAGCTTGGCAAAGGAGTCACGAAGTGTCTGCCGCAAACAAGGGCACGCCAACCTGACAGACTGGGCGGATGGTCTGGGAAATAGTTTGTTTGCTGGGCGGCAGACAACTTTTGTGATTGAGCGGGATCAAAGGTAAGGAGCCGCGAGATGCACCCACATGACTGAAAGCAGAGTCGACGCAGAGCCATGCGCATCTTGCCGCTGGTCGTACCGCGTTTGCAAATGCGCGTGGAACGCGCAAAAAGGTATTCATATCACGCGGTTCGAGCAGCCTTCCGCGTACGGACCCCACACCTCGATTCCCCGAGACGACATTTTGCGTGGCCCATTGAGAAGCAGCCAAGAAGGATGATCGCCAGGACAATGCACGCGCGGTTCACTTCACCACCAACCCTCCACGTTTTGGCCAGAGGACCAGAGGACATTGAGACACACGTTGAAGACATGCTACATTCTGGACTTGTCGACATGCATGAGCCTAAGGTGCGGCAAACTCTATCGCGGGTACAGTATTGCAGGGGCATGATGCACGATGCCTAAGATCCACTCCCGGAACTGATCATCTCATCATACATTCACGGGTACACGCAGTGTGCACTCTACTGCGCTCTCAATGCTGCCGACATGCCAGAGTTTCCAAGGCAAATTTGTTGAAATTCGCGCCTCCAGCAATCATGATGCATGCTTGATCGTGCACGGTCTACGACGGCCACGACCACGCGAGCTCTTCCATGATATCGGAGCTAGGCACGATGCTATGTGTAACGCGAGGCTGTGTTACTCCGGGTGATCCCTACTCATCCTGGATGCAATAGATGATTGCCTCTGTGCCGCTGTTGCGAAGTATGGATGAACCCGACGCCCGCCCAAGCTCAGATCGCCCTTCCCAGAGGTTTGAAGGGTGGTGCGTGGACCTGGAACCACAAAGCCTCCTGCTGCATGGGCTCCATCTCCTTTTGAGTATACATGTGGCCATTGCTCGCCTATTAACAATTTCTTTGATTCTTTGTCTGCTTCGTCGTTAGCTTACCCGCCGGTGCGATGTCGTTGATCACTCTTTTCACGCTCTTTACTTGTGCTAGTGCTGTTACGAGGCGGTTTGCAATTGACGTGCAATGGGGAACGGGCGCGCCAGATGGCTTCGAACGTCGGATGATGTTGGTGAACGGCACTTCTCCTGGACCACCGTTGGTCGTTGATCAAGGTGACAATGTTGAGGTATGATACTTGAGTACCGTTTCAGCCACGTGCTCACTTGTCTGCAGTTCTATGTACGCAATGGCTTGGACGTGGAAGCCACAGTCCACTTTCATGGCATTGTGTAAGTGCACATGGTCTCGATCCATGTCACGCTATTCCTGACGTTGGCAGACAACAAAACACACCTTGGTCAGATGGTGTGCCCGGACTGTCGCAACGACCTATTGCTCCTGGATCTGACTGGTTATACAAATGGACTGCTAATGAATATGGAGCATATTGGTAAGTCTAAATCTTTGCAATGCGCAACACATCTGCTCATAAGATGTTGCAGGTATCATGCACACTATCAAGCTCAAGCCAGCGATGGATTTTATGGACCTATCTTAATCAGGCCTCGACAATCGGAGCCCAGGCCGTTCAGTGGCATCACCAACGACCCGCAAGAACTGAGGGCGATTCAACGAGCCGAGGACAATCCACATTTCATCATGGTTGCTGACTGGCAGCATGTGACTTCAGAAGAATTATACGACATCGAGAACCGCACTAATATCGATGTGTATTGCTCTCAAAGCATACTGTTCAACGGAAAAGGCTCCGTTCCCTGCTTGACTCCTGACGAACAACGAGCGGCTATACCACCTCCGTTCCAATGGCTTTACGCACCGGGTGGACCCATGGCTGATCAAAACCTCACTGCTAATGGCTGCGCCCCCTTCAATGGATTCACGAACAACCCCGGGCCCATAAACCCGTCCGGACTTCCGAAAGAGGTAGTCGGATGTGAAGCCACTCAAGCCGAACTGTCCGATTTCAAAGTCGACCCCGCGGAACAATGGGCTACCTTCCACCTCATGAGTTCCACCTCCATATTGGCACCTGTCGTCTCTCTGGACGGGCATGTAATGTGGGTTTATGCTGTCGATGGTCGATACATCGAGCCCTATCGGGTACATGGAGTGCAGCTCTACAGCGGCGAGCGCTACTCGGTGATGATCCCACTCAACCAGGCTCCAGGCACTTACACGTTCCGCGCAAGTCACCTTGGCTTCAATCAGATTCTCAGCGGGTATGCGACTGTCACCTATACGGGTGGCGATGCGGACGAAAAGGATGAAGGTGGTTACAATGGGGGCGGTGGTGGTAAGCCTCCTTCTTACGGACAACATTTTCCCAGCAAAGGTCATCAGCCCCATAGCTACGGCGAGCAAGGTCCCAACAGTGAAAACGATCCTGCACATCCAGGATCGAGGTTCCCTTGTTTTGAACACCCGCCATCGAACTTTGCCCACGAGGCACGAAACTGCATCAAGAACGGGATTGACTCTTGGCTTCCAGGTCTTGGGCGGAAAGGTCTAGCAAAGCGTCAATCAGACAACGACTCACAAGCGTACTTTACCTATGGTGGATTCCCTGTCTCACAAGATGTCATTCTCCTCAACACGACCAACATCGTGCCATTCCCGAATGTACCACCCGCACGAGACGTCGACGCCACCCACATTTTCTACATGTCCAGATTCCAAGCCCCATGGCTCTGGACCGTAACAGGCCGAGCAGCATACCCAAGTCACCCAGAAGAATACGCCGAAGACACTCCACTCCTCTACTATCCCAACAGCCCAGAAGCCAACAACCGCGACCTCGTGGTCCGCACCCAAAACAACACCTGGATCGACCTCGTCTTCTTCGTAACCGACATCTTCGGCCCACCACATCCCATGCACAAACACAGCAACAAAGCCTACGTCATTGGCAAAGGCGTCGGAAACTGGACTTGGGACACTGTAGCAGAAGCTGCTGCCGCGCAACCACAGTATTTCAATTTCGAGAATCCGCCGCTACGAGATGGATATGCGACGGAACCTTCGGCCGGCCAGCCGGTTTGGTTGGTTATAAGATATCATGTGGAGAATCCGGGGGCTTTTATGTTACATTGTCATATTCAGACACATCTGGCGGGGGGAATGGCTGTGGCTTTGCTGGATGGTGTGGAGGATTTCCCGGAGATCCCGGAGGAGTATGCTGTTGATGGGAATGGGATGTGACGTCTTTGCGGTTTTGCGATTTAATTACAGCACAGACTGGACGGCAGACTGTTTCTTTCAGCTTTCGTTTTTGGTGCTTGGTTGGACCAATTTTTGACCAGACTTAGCGAGTTTCTAGATACCTCACGCCAGTGAACGGCAGGTCTTTCATGTTCTTTACATTAGAAGTTACAATTGTCAACCACTTCATATGAGTGAGTATAATGCACTCTCTGGGTGTATACCTTTGCCACAGCGATCCTGTGAACTTCCAGAGAAGGTTACAGATTTCCCTCCTCGATCGTTTCAGAGCTGGAAAATGCAATCAGGCCTTGTTCTGCATTCGCCAAGTCAAACAAGCCCAATTCACAGGTTGTGTTCCTTGACGCTTGTCGTATCATTTCATTCACATTTCGTTACATCTAAATCCATCCCTCTAACCCTAGGGCTCCAACTTCCCAAACAAAGTGAAAAATCTAATCAATCTCAATCCCCACCTTCGCAAAATGCTTCTGCTCCCACATATACTGATACGCCTCAGGAACCTGATCCAATTTCCACTTCTTCTTATCAATCACAGGATGAATATCATTCGCTTCGATTGCGCGATTCATCTCTTCGAATTGATGTCTGGAACCCACTAAAATTCCTCGCACAGTACATTGGTGTGTCAGAGTATCGAGCATTGTAGGGGCGTTTTCGGCTTGGAATCCGCCGATGAAGCCGATGATGGTGATTATGCCGTCGATGGCGATGGCGGCGAGGGATTGTTGCATTGTGTTGGGGCCGCCGACTTCGACGATGTGGTTGACGCCGCGGTTGCCGGTTAGCTTTTTGGCGGTTTGGCCCCAGTTGGGTTCTTCTTTGTAGTTGAGGACGTGGTCTGCGCCGAGTTTTTTAAGGAGGTCGGCTTTGGAAGAGGAGGAAGTTGTAGCGATGACTTTTGCTCCTGCGGCTTTGGCGAATTGGACGGCGAAGATGGAGACGCCGCCTGTGCCTTGGGTGAGAACCCAGTCGCCTGGGAGGAGTTGTTTGGAGCCGTAGAGGGCGTTCCAGGCTGTGAGGCCTGCGCAGGTGAGGGTTGCGGCTTCGATGTGGTTGAGGTTGGAGGGTTTGTGGACGAGGCCTTGTTCGTCGTATGCGCCGTATTGCCGGAGTGTGCCGTCTATTACTCCTCCTACTCCGCCTTGAAGGGAGTGCTCGTCGAGAGAGCCGGCGATGTGTCCTTGGTTGAAGAGTGTGACGACTTCGTCACCTTTTTTGAAACGTGTTACTCGAGAGCCGACTTCTTCTACGATGCCGGAGCCGTCGGAGCCTGCGACGACGTTGGAGGCTAGAGGGAAGGGGTATTGGCCTTTGGTGATGATGAGGTCACGGTAGTTGAGGGAGGCGCCCTTGACTGTATGCTCTGTTAGTCTCGAGCTGCAGCTTGATGTTGATGTGGGAACTTACACTTTACGAGAACGTCTTTGTCTCCAAGCTGTGGCTTGTCCTCATCGGATTGCTTGAGGTCGGCGAAGCCATTCTTGCCAGTAACTCTCCAAGACTTATTTCCAGGCATTTTGATGATGGATCAGCAGTTGATAGCTTTTTTCAGATAGAATAAGATTGTGATAGAGAAATCGACAGTAAGGACCTGATCAATACTTGTGCTCAAGATGAGGAGCAGCTCTATTTCTAAGCTGCACAATCTTCCAGAACAACCTACCTTGCTGGCGAAAGACTCGGACCCACGTCCTATATGCCATCATCGCTGATGGCATGCGCAGTCGGCAGAAAAGAGGGAATGACGTTTCCTTTGTGAGTGTTGCTAGGGGGAGCTTCTGTCGGAAGGTTATTGGAGGCGATATATCGGCACGGCAGTGATGGCTTGGCGATGATTATTGATTGCGAGGTATTCAATGTTGATGATGATATTGATGGCAGTGGTGGCTTCGTCCGAGTTCTGTCCGATGACTTACCAATCTGCTGTGATGCATGCACAGGGAAGCTCTCTTGCCAAAGCGAATAATCTGGGGAGCATTCATTTCATTTCTCGGAGGCCTGGGAGGTCTGTCCGGTCTTTAGCGCAGGAACGAGCACCAAATGGAAAGAAGAATGCGTATCCTTGGAAGGACCAGAAGGTGGAAAGAAGGTGTGTTCATCACAAATTCTATAGCCAACAGCGTAGTCATTCTTCATTCATCTTCCGGAATATCTAAAAAGGCAAATTCTCTCCATCATAAAGCTCGCTCGCCCCCAGCAACATATCCAAAATCGGCGGCTGGATGTCAATCCCCGCAATCTGCGTCGGTATCGTAGCAAAGGCTTGCACATTCTCAATCAGACATTGCGAAAGATCATAGGTCAAGTATACATCCGCGCTGAAAGTGATCGGAAGGGCGAGACCATGTAACACTCCGAGTGTGACGTTCGTGGTGATGATTGTCGTTCCATTATCGAAATCTGTGTAGAGACCTGTTACGCGGGAGAAGACTTGGCGAGTTGCAACGGCGAAGTCGTAGGATGTGGTTCGGTCGACTGCTACGGGAATTGCGGGGCCGCCGTTGGGGTTTCTGCGTTGGAAAGTTAGGGTCTAGATGTTGGAGATTGTATTGATCGATTGATAGCTTACATTTGTATTTGACAGTCGTCTCGGAAGGGTACACGTTGGAATGCTTCTTCGGACTCAAATGGCTGAATGAGATTGTATGCGAACACAACTTGTTGGGCGCCTGCGACACGGTATTCTGAGGTGCAGTCTCCAGGCCCTGTGCCGTTCGGTAGGAAAGGGCCAGAAATTGGGCCATTGTCGACTGGGTCTCCGCTTTGAGGAAGAGCTGTTACTGATGCTACTGCTGCAGCGAGAAGGAAGATCGTGGAAAACATATTGATGGAAAAGAGTGTGTTGTCAGTGTTCGAAGGAGTGATTTGCAGGATCAGCAAAACTCGTGGCTCTTGCGTGGTACTTATGATCACCGGAGCATGCTACGTGCAGTCGTGCATTGAAGCATACCGCTATCGTCTGCTTGACGGTTTCTCCTCAATCGCTACCAGCGACAACGGTCATCTTCGATGTGAGGGTTGCTCCACGACCCGTTGAAATTGTCATCCAGAAGTCGCTTATGCGCCCAAAAGGGTAGCAACAGGCCGTGTCTTTGGAGCGCCGTGTCATATCATTCGCCTGAGTGCTATGCGTATGGTAAGGACCAACACCGGGGTATGTCCACTTTCGTCGCCATTGCAAGTGGACTGGACCAGCAGACACTGTCCAAAGAAGGCAATTGATGTGCCGGAGACATCGGGTGCCAAGCAAAGTGCTGTGAGGCTTGCAGCATACATACGCTGACGACAACTCCGGAGCTATCGGACTGGCTGGGAGCAGCAATGCGAACTGGCGCGTCAGAATCAACTCTCCCGCCTGTAGTGGGCAAATGGATCGAACAATTTCCCGCCTCTGACACAGTGCTACCCGTCTAGTCCTGATGCGCGTTGCATCCGGTACGCTTGAAGCCAGTATACGTCGAAACCTGTCAGCAGATGAAATGTTGTCGTTCCGCTTTGCCTTTGGCGCGGCAAGAAATGCACGTCCCCGATGTTTGCCTGAGCCCTGCATATCTAATAGGATCGCACGCGGCTCAACGGACCATTTCACAGCACCAGGTTCTCATGATCGGGTTGCAATCCGACGAGCGTTCGGTTTGGTGTTGTCAACTGAGAACAAAGGTTCTGTTCCTGCGCGATCGGCTGCGAAGACATGCTGCGAAGATATCAGCAAGGCCATTCGAGAAATCGTGAGTTACTAAACGCAGGCATCGTCAATCGTGAGGCTCAGACTGCTTAAGTGTTGTTTCTTTGCGATGCCTGTACAAATTCGCTAAACCTGGTAATGCATTCGGCTCGTAGCTACACTTAAAGCTTTGACTTATCCTTAATGTATGAAAGTTGCTTGTTGATCGTGTCGAGCGCTTCTTGTTCAATTCTCGAGACCAGCACTTCGCATGTTGGGATGTCTTTGATGAGTCCAATGCAGAGACCTGCTGTCCAGACCTGTACGATCTCGTTAGCTCAAATCCGTAGCATGACCGGCATCTCGAACTTACGCCATAATCTGGATCGCCATTCAGGAATACTTGTCGCCCTCTTTGTCCGCTAACAAGTGGTTGTACTTCCTCAAACTTTCCAGTCGTCGACTCTCGCTCAATCTTCAGAGCTTCATCGGTAACCTTATTCTTGAACAAGCGATTTGTGTTCTTCCACCTTCGGAGGACAAGCTCGGTATCGTTCTCATCAGCTTTTACAATCGTCTCCTTGATGTTGTGGTGGATTGGCGCCTCGATAGTGCACATGAATCGTGTGCCCATGTTGATTCCGCACGCGCCTAGTGCCAGTGCGCCCGCAAGTCCTTGGCCGTCTGCAAAGCCGCCGGACGCAATGAAAGGTGTGTTGCCCAGTTCCTGTCGTGCGCGAGAGACAAGGATGAAGTTTGGGATATCAGTCTCTCCACAGTGACCTGCACACTCGAAGCCATCGATGGACAGAAAATCGACGCCCATCTTGATTGCAGCAAGGGAGTGTCGAATCGTTGTGCACTTGTGAAGAATTGTAATACCAGCTTTCTTGAGTTTGGGTACGACCTCCTTGATTAGACCAGCAGTCTCTACAATCTTGATCCCTTCCGCGATAATAGCGTCGGCGTACTCTTGGTATGGAGGTGGGTTGACTGCTGGGAGCATGGTGAGGTTCACAGCGAAAGGCTTGTCGGTCATCTTCTTGCATCGTCGGATCTCGTTGCGCAAGTCGCCTGGAGTTGGTTGTGTGAGAGCTGTGATCTGCCCAATGTCAGTACAATCCAGAATGCAGACATTCTGTAGAAAAACACACAATTCCCAGCCCACCAGCATTTGAAACCGCAGATGCCAGCTCTGCATATCCCACCCACATCATTCCACCCTGGATGACAGGTACCTTGATTCCCAAGGCCCTGGTGAGAGCAGTATCGAAAGCGCCCGACATCTTGAAATCTGGATTAGTGGTTTGACAGAACTACACGCAGGTTCAAAGGTCAGAAATTAGATATCGTAAAATTGAACAGCACGACGTAGTTCTTTTGATGTCAGTACAGCTGTGGTTGTGTCGGCGCCGATTAGTGATACTAATCCAGCCTTGAGCTCCGCTTGAGTCCCCTCGATGAAAGTGATAGCCGAGATTGCCGTGGGAATAAGGTCTTGTCAGCATCACGTGAACGCACAGTAGTGGCTTTGTTGCGCGATCTTTGTTTAAATCCTGCTTAATGCCGAGGCTTCGATTTGTTGTTCGCTGCATAGTAGCATGAGATGTAGAACTGCGACATGAGGCTCTCAAATTTTGCTACAGTCATCGAGGGTCTTCATGAAACGCAGGAGGTGGTCAGAAAATCATGTTCCGTTGCAGACTTCGACGATCTCATGGTGTGCACTCCCAAATTTCGCTGCGCAAACATCTCGTTGCCCAGGCCGGAGGACCATCGAATATTCGTAATGCGCAATGCAGAGATGCTGGCTTTTGTCTTGGCTGCCATATCGTTGATGGAATGAAGAAGACAAAGGAAAGCGGGAAGAGTCGCTTCTATTTGTGTGACGGGCCATCCCGTGTCTGTTCTTGGCAATACCGTACCTGCGTCAAACGACATCAAAATGGACAGGTACATGCGCGCCATCGATCTTCTGTATCACCTCACACAAAATACATCCGCACTGGGTTCCAAGTGTATAGCGACAAGATTTGAAGCATAATGCCCTGCAGTTACCACATAGCCACGATGGTAAGGTGGCAAAAGGACGGCTTGGTAACTCCTGGGTATGCCACAATGGCCAGAACTTACCGAGTTCACGGGTGACCGCCAATTCGTCGGGACTCCATGGGAGAACTCCCCGTGGGGATCATGCTGGATCGAAGAAGCGTCTAGGTTGGCAAAATTGCTTTCGTCAGCTGCAAGAGCCAAGTTGCTCATCTGAGGCTCCATCACGCAATCTCGCGCCATAGCACGAATGGTGAATTACTGTCGTGAAGGCGGTGACGTGCTGTGGGTAGGCTCCTCTGCAGAGGGTATTCGATCAAGTGTCAAAGTCGGTATAATAAAGATGTCTGATTCTATGGAAGGTAGCGAACGAGCTGGCTCTATATACCACTGCCGGAACGGAAGAACCGGCAGTTAGGGCTAATTCCGGTTTATGCGAGGTGGCTGCTATAGCCAAACCGAC